GTTTTACTAATTTAAACAATACATATAAATTTCATACAGATCGGATAATAACTTTCGTCGTTTGAACGTTCACAAGGTACAACAAAGTGAAACAAGGGCCATAACTCACAGCGTAATTAACGGAAATTGCTGAAATTCAAAAGGCTTCTTCGTTTTACTAATTTGAATGATGCATATAATTTCATACAGATCGGATAATAACTCTTGTCGTCAGAGCATTCACAAGGTACAACAAAGTGAAACAAGGGCCATAACTCACGGCGTAATTAATGGAAATTGCTGAAATTCAATAGGCTTCTTTAAATGATGCATATCAATTTCAAACAGATCGAATGATAACTGTTGTCATTAGAGCGTTCACAAGATTCAACAAAGTGAAACAAGGGCCATAACTCTAGATGTAATTAACGGAAATTGAGGAAATTCAATAGGCTTCTTCGTTTAACTAATTTAAATGATGCATATAAATTTCAAACAGATCAGATGATAATTGTTGTCATTAGAGCGTTCACAAGATTCCACAAAGTGAAACAAGGGCCATAACTCTAGATGTAATTAACGGAAATTGCCGAAATTCAATAGGCTTCTTTGTTTTACTAATTTAAATGATGCATATAAATTTCATACAGATTGGTTGATAACTCCAGAAGAAATTAACGGAAGTTATTGAAATTAAATAGGCTTCTTCATCTCACTAATGCAAACAACATATATCAATTTCAAAACAATCAGATGATAAATGTAGTCTGTAGAGTGTTCACAAGAAATTGTGGACGACAGACGGGGGCGACGGCAATATATGACCACATTTCCATGTGGCCGTATAAAAAAGGGGATTTAACTCCAGAATGGGAGGTCACAGAACACTGAATATCTATAGGATTCATTTTTCAAGAGCCCAATACTTCACACCAAGTATGTAAGAAATCCATTAAAAAATTGATGTTCTATCTGACTATCATAATAAGTCAAACAGAAAGTCTTGGATAGCCAATTAATTTTTAAAACCTTCGGCTGCCAGGCAGGATACGCCCACATTTTCGAGAGATGGATAGAGAACAAGCTAAAATGAAAGTGATTTTTCCTACAATCAAGGGCCATAATTCAGGAAATTACAATTCGATATGCGCAAATATCGAAAGGAACCGAGATCTTTGTGTTCTAAACTTACATTTCAAGTTTCAACAAAATCGGATAAAAATTGTGACCTCTATAAGGTCCACAACCTTGATATACCATATTTTTACGCTATTTGATAACGAACGGCGGCCATTTTGTCTGTCAATTTTGGGCCGATTTTCATGAAATTCGAACTCAGCCATCCTAAGGGTGATATAATAATACGTTGTTTTATAAAATTATGACCTCTATAGGGTCCACAAGCTAAAAACGCGATTTTACGTACAATCAGGGGCCATAATTCAGGAAGTTACAGTCCGATATGCGCGAATATCGAAAGGAAGCGAGATCTTTGGGTTATAAACTTACATTTCAAGTTTCAACAAAATCGGATAAAAATTGTGACCTCTATTGTGTCCACAAGCTAAAAACGTGATTTTTCTTACAAACAGGGGCCATAATCCATGAAGTTTCGATCTGATACATGCCAATATCAATAGGAACCGAGATCTTTTGGAGATAAACCTATATTTCAAGTTTCGTCAAAATCGGATAAGAATTGTGACCTGTAGAGTGTCCACAAATTGTGGACGAATGGACAGGGGCGACGACAATATACGTCCACATGAAAATGTGGGCGTATAAAAAATGTCATACCAGCGGCTGCCAGGCAGGATACGCCCACATTTTCGAGAGATGGATAGAGAACAAGCTAACAAGAAAGTGATTTTTCCCCACAATCAAGGGCCATAATTCAGGAAATTACAATTCGATATGCGCAAATATCGAAAGGAACTGAGATCTTTGTGTTATAAACTTACATTTCAAGTTTCAACAAAATCGGATAAAAATTGTGACCTCTATAGGGTTCACAACCTTGATATACCATATTTTTTACGCTATTTGAGAACGAATGGCAGGCATTTTGTCTGTCAATTTAGGGCCAATTTTCACGAAATTCGAATTCAGCCGTCCTTAGGGTGTAACGGTGATATAATAATACGTTTTTTTAAATCAGATAAAAATTATGACCTCTATAGGGTCCACAAGCTAAAAACGCGATTTTTCAGACAATCAGGGGCCATAATTCAGGAAGTTACGGTCCAATATGTGTGAATATCAAAAGGAACCAAGATCTATGGGTTATAAACTTACATTTCAAGTTTCAACAACATTGGATAAAAATTGTGACCTCTATAGGGTCCACAACCTTGATATACCATATTCTTACGCTATTTGAGAACGAACGGCGGCCATTTTGTCTGTCAATTTGGGGCCGATTTTCATGAAATTCGAACTCAGCCATCCTAAGGGTGATATAATAATACGTTGTTTTATAAAATATGACCTCTATAGGGTCCACAAGCTAAAAACGCGATTTTTCGTACAATCAGGGGCCATAATTCAGGAAGTTACAGTCCGATATGCGCGAATATCGAAAGGAAGCGAGATCTTTGGGTTATAAACTTACATTTCAAGTTTCAACAAAATCGGATAAAAATTGTGACCTCTATAGTGTCCACAAGCTAAAAACGTGATTTTTCTTACAAACAGGGGCCATAATCCATGAAGTTTCGATCTGATACATGCCAATATCAAAAGGAACCGAGATCTTTTGGAGATAAACCTATATTTCAAGTTCCGTCAAAATTGGATAAGAATTGTGACCTGTAGAGTGTCAACAAACAAATTGTGGAGGAATGGACAGGGGCGACGACAATATACGTCCACATGAAAATGTGGGCGTATAAAAAATGTCATACCAGCGGCTGCCAGGCAGGATACGCCCACATTTTCGAGAGATGGATAGAGAACAAGCTAACAAGAAAGTGATTTTTCCTACAATCAAGGGCCATAATTCAGGAAATTACAATTCGATATGCGCAAATATCGAAAGGAACTGAGATCTTTGTGTTATAAACTTACATTTCAAGTTTCAACAAAATCGGATAAAAATTGTGACCTCTATAGGGTTCATAACCTTGATATACCATATTTTTACGCTATTTGAGAACGAACGGCAGGCATTTTGTCTGTCAATTTAGGGCCAATTTTCACGAAATTCGAACTCTGCCATCCTTAGGGTGTAACGGTGATATAATAATACATTTTTTTAAATCGGATAAAAATTATGACCTCTATAGGGTCCACAAGCTAAAAACGCGATTTTTCGTACAATCAGGGGCCATAATTCAGGAAGTTATGGTCCGATATGCGCGAATAACGAAAGGAACCGAGATCTATGGGTTATAAACTTACATTTCAAGTTTCAACAAAATCGGATAAAAATTGTGACCCCTATAGGGTCCACAACCTTGATATACCATATTCTTACGCTATTTGGGAACGAACGGCGGCCATTTTGTCTGTCAATTTTGGGCCGATTTTCATGAAATTCAAACTCAGTTATCCTTAGGGTGTAACGGTGATAAAATAGAAAGGTTTTTTAAATCGGATAAAAATTATGACTTCTATAGGGTCCACAAGCTAAAAACGTGATTTTTCGTACAATCAGGGGCCATAATTCAGGAAGTTACGGTCCGATATGCACGAATATCGAAAGGAACCGAGGTGGGTTATAAACTTACATTTCAAGTTTCAACAAAATCGGATAAAAATTGTGACCCCTATAGGGTCCACAACCTTGATATACCAATATACCATATTCTTACGCTATTTGGGAACGAACAGCGGCCATTTTGTCTGTCAATTTTGGGCCGATTTTCACGAAATTCGAACTCAGTCATCCTTAGGGTGTAACGGTGATATAATAGAATGTTTTTTTAAATTGTGACCTCTATAGGGTCCACACGCTAAAAACGTGATTTTGCGTACAAACAGGGGCCATAATCCATGAAGTTTCGATCCGATACATGCCAATATCGAAAGCAGCCGAGATCTTTTGGGGATAAACCTATATTTCAAGTTTCGTCGAAATCGGATAAGAATTGTGACCTGTAGAGAGTCCACAAACAATTGTGGACGGACAGACAGGGGCGACGGCATAATACGTCCACATGAAAATGTGGGCGTATAAAAACCAAAGTAGAATTCTTGCGTGAAATTACGAGATATGAAACGTGTTGAATTTAGTAACGAATCTAGTATAATGTCATTTTCTAGCCTTTATGATTATATTTTGAATGGTGGTTACGTTTTGAAGTAAATAATAAACAAGGTAGAATATAGTTAGAAATGCCGAGAAGTATTTAGATTGGATTAACAATAGCAAGAGTCAGAACAAGGTCCGTTGACTTTGCCGTATGACTACGAAGAGTGCTATTAATAGTATTAATTTTTAGCAGTTGACATCGTTGGACGACTGTTACATTCTAAGATTTTCAAACATCAAATACAAAATGACAACGGGCAAGTTTTGTTATAAAGAGGAATATAATCAGACACAACTCTATGTAATGGGGGACATCTCCGAATAACCGTACCATTGAATTCGAACCGTTTAACCGCCCAGTTCTAACCGTTTACGGCTATCCGACTAGTCGTAGGAGCACTAGTAAGTAGTCACTGTGTTATTCAAGAAGTGTGTCTCCACCAATTCCACCTGACAACCAGACATTGGTATGTCTTTGTATCATATAGCTTTAGATAGTAGTTACTTTTGACTAGACTATCAAAAGGCTTTTAAGAACTTTTGACACAGAATTATCGAGTTTTATTCACTGACATAATATCTGGGATTCCTCCTTTAATGAAGAGTAAAAATTTGAATATGGGAACTCTGATTTCCTAGCCACAGATATTATGTATCTAAAATCATATAACATTGTCATCACAAACAGTTCTGAAAAAAAGAAATCTCTTTGTAAATAACTTACTAAAACTTGAAGAGGCTTCATCAGAAAATACAACATAATTTTCACATTGTATGGTATTTCTGTTAACTTTACCCTGGATTTCGGTAAGTCCTGCTACATATTCACTGAGCTAAAAGATATAAACAAAGAAGATATTTTATCATTCTAGTATAAATGAGTCTGGTGGTGGGGGCAATTAAAGTCAGGAGCACAGTGACATTCACATGTGAAGGTCAAACAAACAATGGTCAATGCCAAATAGTCGTGGCTCAGCTGGATAGGTAAAAACAAATATCATTTGAATTTGACAGACATTTGACGATCCAAAAACCTATCATTACTTTATTCTAGTTGTCTTTTCGTCCAACATACATTTGTTCTATCGTCTGTTTGTCCTACATCAGGGTAGTCCTGGAGTTTGAAGTATATTAAAGAAGCATTCATCTTGGATTGCACAGAAGACCTTTACAATGAACCTGTCACACAGTGTAAGGTCAGAAAAATCTCAAAATTAAAGGGGATGTCCAAGATTTCACAGAGTAACTGCTGATAAAAGTGGGGTCGAGTCTTGAATTCCAATATGTGATGAAATAGCTTCTCTGAATGTCTCGGCTCAAAATATTGAGAGGTTTATAAACCATTGCTATTATTTGCTCCGCCGTAAAGTGGTCATGTAACTCATTTTTAAGTAATTTCAATCTGAAATTGTAACAGTGATTTAGTATAGCAATGCTCTCTTACCACTAAAATGAATGCAAGTTTGTAGACATGGCTATCCATAATTGGAGATAGTATGGAATTTGTGTACTTGAAACTAAAACTATGCATTTCTGAGGAAAAGGTATGATATGGCTACCGATAGTAATACTGGTCTAAGAGTACTGTAGTACACTGTACGCTGAAAGAACTCATTTGATTCAATAAAATTTATCTGGAAAAGTTGGCATAAGGCGCGCAAATATGCAAAGGCAAGAGAACCATTTCCATAAAATCGGCAGATATATTGTGAAAACATGTACATGGAATAAATGTGCTTCAAGGTTTCTTTGCTTAGCGAACCGTTGGCGGTATAGGTGTGTCTAGGCATTTTGGAGTAAGTACAATGTACTTCTATATGCACTATATGTAGGCCTACTTACTGGTTCAGGCATATCTATTCTTATATCTTGTCCATCACTTGTTGTTAATGTAAAATATTTACCACTGTTATCAACCTGAAATTTAAATACATCATGCATTATTTTCTACACATCAATCTTATCTGAATAAAATATTGTTTAAATCTAATACCTAGGAGAGGAGGGGGGGTAACATTTTATATAAGAAGACAGTTTTAACACATGTATACAGTTTGTCTGTTTGTAAATGTAGACTAGACATTGAAATTATTATTTGTTATGATTGTAATTGTACAAACAAAAGGCGATGTGGTCATAACGGCCCTATGCCATAACGGCCAAAAACAGGTTTGGTCAAAACGGTCCTACTTTAGTCATAACAGCCAAACAGTTTGGTCATAACAGCCAATAAATTTGCTCATAATGGCCAAAAACTTTAGTCGCAACGGCCAGACATTTTTAATTTAATGAAAGATAGGTTGCCAGGCAACGAAACATACGCCCACAGCAGCTAAATCGTCCGGGCAGTCAACAAGTGTTGTCGCATATTTTTACTTATTTCGGTAATGAAACATTTATAATACACTCATGAAGTAATTATCAGAAAACCATTAGAATTTGTTTGGTTTTTAATATCATGGATTTAGCTGTTCAAGTCATAAAAATTCATTGAAAATCAATATACTTGTTCGTCTCAAGCTCTTAAACTCTGTGTATCAATCTGATAACTTTAGCCTCTAGAGCGTCACAAGATTTTCAAAGTGATCAAGGGCCATAACTGTGACAGTAATTATCGAAAATCACTGAAAATGAATAGACTTCTTTGTCTCATGACCTTAAACACTGTGTATAAATTTAAAGTCAACCGGATATTGACTTTGGCCTCTAGTGCGTCCACAAGATTTTTCAAAGTGATCAAGGGCCATAACTCTGGCAGTAATAGGCTTCTTCATCTCGTGACCTTAAACACTGTGTATAAATTTAAAGTCAATCGGATATTAACTTTAGCCTCTAGAGCGTCCACAAGCAATTGTGGACGCCGGACGGACGGGGGCGACGACCACATTTCAATGTGGGCGTATAAAAACAATATATTTAAACAAAACATTGATGTGGTGCTACAGTTATACAAACCACGTGTCCTGGAGACATATATTAAATTTTGTAATATTACAAATAATATTTTAGGTTAAGCTATATTTCCAAATATATCTTAGGTTAAGCGATATTTACAATTTTTTTATAGGTAAATGAAGATGCAATACCTGATGATTTTTTACGTGCTGATAGTTAAAGGAGCTAAATCAATAATATTTGGGACCTAGAAATTGACAAAAATGGGTCGCAACGCATATAATAATGTAATATGAATGTATATAAACTGATTTACATTCAATCGTTTCTGTTTTTACTGTAATTTTTAATTAGTTATGTTTGGCGTAATACACCAGAAATCCCATGTAAATGGCAAACTTTAGCGTCTGGTTTTTCCAGTCTACACCGATGATATTTATTGAGCATGCTCTCCAGATAAGAATATCGCGTCACCATTTGACATGACTTGTGGAATATGTCTATCCCTGTTATTTGAGTCCCTTGTTCCAAATGGGGCTGAAACGCATTATGGTACACGATTCGTGTACCAATGGTAAAATGTTTATTTTGTCTTGAATATTCGATATCAGAAGCCCATCTTTTCCCTGAAAGATCACAAGACCAATGTTGATTTGAATTGACAAATAATTCGTGTTTTCAATATCGAAGATTTTTGATGATATTGAGTTAGAGACTTAGCAACTTTGAAGGAGAAAGACATGTTGGCTTTGTTTGCTAAGTTTGCTAAATCTGGGCAAAAGTTTATTGATGGGACTTTAAAATCGTGAAAAAGCCCTTTTATCAACACTGTAAATTTATAATATGTGTTTAGATGTATTATGTATGTGAAATATTATTGAAATAAATTTCATATTTTGTATGTTTCATTCATACAATGTATTATGTACATGTATGTGAAATATTATAGTTTGTATTACGTTAAATGTCTGTAAATTTACGTATTAAATTAATGTTTATGTAATGTATGTATTTATATTATCATGGTATTATCTATTATAGTATTAAAAAAAACAAAACTATTATGCAATATTTATGTTAATAAATATCATTTTGTATATGTAATAAATGGTATGGTTTTTTGGCTGTTAACGACCAATTTGTATGGACGTTATGACCAATTCGTATGGCTGTTACGACCAAATTTTTGGGCCGTTATGACCAATTATTTTGGCCGTTATAACCCCGAAAAAAGAAGTACCATTCTGTTTTGTTTGTAAATGTAGGTATTACTTGTCATATTTGTACTATACAAACAAAACAAATCAAATGATACTTTTCTTTATATTTACAATTACAAACATTAACAAAATAATAATTTTAATCTAGTCTTTGTTGACAATTATTTATGGTGACCTTTTTGACAAGATTACGTTTATTTTGAACAAATTATGATCGTTTTGACCAAAGTGTACTTGGTAGTTGGTCCATGACCAAAGTTACTTAATTACCGTACTTTAATTAGTTAAAATTAAATGGCCGATTATTAAGACGATTATGAGCCCACACTGTAAATAAAATAATAATTTGTAATATTAATAATTAATTAAATTTACATCTTTTGCTAGTCCTAGTAGGCAGACAGTTCTGCCTTGGTGAGATGACATCATTTTACCATTGATTCTCGGTCTTACGAAATCTCCCATATTCAGTTTATCCACATTGGTTTCTAAAATGACGTTGAATTGGCGGGAAATACTCTAAGCAGCGATGTTCTCCAACAGGTTTTTTTTTTACAGAACTTTACGTTGATATAAGCGACTCGTGCATTCGGTTTACTTCGTTTTGCTTAATAGTCTCAATCATTCAGACCCAATATAACGCTATGTTCTTTTAGACTGGATAACCTGCTCTAATACGTCAGACTCGCTCCTACGTCACTCCTTTTCTGACTTGCAGAGACAGGTAGTGGGCAGCCGTGTTTTGACGTAGTGTTACTATAAATAGACAGGTATCCCTAATGATGGCGTTAAGCGTTAAAATGAATAAGCTAGAAGATTTGTTAATCTTATCTTTAATGTCTAAGATTGATCTAGCCAAATTAAACGTTGTTCGTGCGACATCTTATTGTTATCTTAAACCCAAACAAAGCGACAGTTTAAAATCAGCACTTATAATCAGATACAATCGTAGGCCTACCGGCTACTGCAAATCGCCATCTTTATTGCATACTTCAGCGTCCGATCATGTTTTTGTTTACATTGGTAATGTGCGCAGAAAGAGATGCGCACTGCCGGGAGGAATTCCTCCTGGCAAGATGGCTGCCCGCTACCCGTCTCTATATTGAAGTCAGAATAGCGCAGTGACGTAGGAACCAGCCTGACGTCATTTAGAGCAGGTTGTCCAGTCTATATGTTCTTAATGCCCGTCCATATTTTTGTACCCGTCCAATTTTTTTGTACTTGTATTTGATACTTTGTATGTCCTCAAAGGACGTTTCGATACAATAAAAGTCTATTCTATACAACTGGCATTCCTCAAATTTACCCATACCATCATTATTTCAACTCATTGCAGTAAGTTATACCGATTATTGATAATTATTTTAAATCGAAACGTTTTTGTGTCCAACCGTGGTTTTGGTGTCTTTGGGTAATTACGCGAGTTATGTCCCTTGGTAATTCTAATTTCGACTGGGTAATCGTCAAAAATTAAAGGAAGGATACTCTCAATTCAAAATGGTGGATTTAAGGTAATGATGTCATTAATCTTGTAATAATTTTAGATTTTGACAAACAAGATAAGATTTTTTTTTATCATGACGATTAAGAAATCTTCGATCATCCGAAGCGGACAAAATTATTCATTTTGGATGTCACTGTAAAGGTATATGTATAGTTCCTTTCGGAAAGATCTGTGAACGACGAACTACGAAGAAGTTTATTAGTTTTGAGTTTTGGCTTTTTGTTGAGAGTCGAGTCTTCCTTACTCTTCAACTCTTAGTGCCCAATGCCTCGAAAATGTATCAATTGTAGAGACAGACAAGACAAGATGGTGCTACAATAATTAATGGATTTAAACACAATTGCCAGTTAATAATTTAATTAAAAAATGGATAATTGAGTCCAATATTTTGAGACTTTGTTTATTATCGTAACAACGGTACATGTATGTAGCAATGACAGTAGAGACTACATTGTTCTTTACACAGTCATAACTACGCTCAGAATGAAGTAATTTGACAGAAATTTTCAACATATTCCTTTTTATACGCCCACATTGAAATGTGGTCGTATATTGTTGTTGCCCCCATCCCTCCGTCGTTCGGTCCGGCGTCCACAATTGCTTGTGGACGCTCTATAGGCTTAAGTTAATATCCGATTGACGTTAAATTTATACACAGTGTTTAAGGTCAGGAGACGAAGAAGCCTATTGATTTTCAGCGATTTTCGATAATTACTGTCAGAGTTATGGCCCTTGATCATTTCAAAAAAACTTGTGGACGCTCTAAAGGTCAAAGTTAATATCTGATTGACTTTAAATTTATACACAGTGTTTACGCTCATGAGATGAAGAAGCCTATTGATTTTCAATGATTTTCGATAATTACTGCCAGAGTTATGGCCCATGATCACTTCAATAAATCTTGTGGACGCTCTAGAGGTCAAAGTTAATATCCGATTGACTTTATACACAGTGTATAAGGTCACGAGATAAAGAAGCCTATTGACTTTCAGCGATTTCCGATAATTACTGCCAGAGTTATGGCCCTTGATCACATTGAAAAATCTTGTGGATGCTCTAGAGACTAAAGTTAATATCCGATTGACTTTAAATTTATACACAGTGTTTAAGGTCATGAGACGAAGAAGCCTATTGATTTTCAACGATTTCCGATAATTACTGCCAGAGTTATGGCCCTGATCACTTTGAAAAATCTAGAGGCTAAAGTTAATATCCGATTGGCTTTAAATTGATACACAGTGTTTAAGGTCATGAGACGAAGAAGCCTATTGATTTTCAGCGATTTCTGATAATTTTTGCTAGAGTTATGGCCCTTGATCACTTTGAAAATTTTTCTGAAAGCTCTAGGGGCTAAAGTATATATCTGATTGACTTTCAATTTATATACAGTGTTGAAGACCATGAGACGAAGAAGCCTATGGTTTTCAGCGATTTCCAATAATTTTTGCCAGAGTTATGGCCCTTGATCACTTTGAAAAATCCGATGGACTTTAAATTTATACACAGTGTTTAAAGTCTTGAGACGAACAAGTATGTTGATTTTCAATGAATCTTTATGACTTGAACAGCTAAATCCATGATGTTAAAAGTTTTGTATACTTAACTTTAGCATGGGGCACAACTTTATAAAAACCAAACAAATTCTAATGGTTTTCTGATAATTACTTAATGAGTTGTTACTCTTATCAGATTTTAATGTATTATAAATGTTTCATTACCGAAAAAAGTAAAAATATGCGACAACTCTTGTTGACTGCCCGGACGATATAGCTGCTGTGGGCGTATGTTTCATTGCATGGCAACCTATCATTCATTTCATCATTACTTTTTTAACTATTATTATAGCGAAAACTGTCAGCTCTTTATCTAAATCTTATATAATGCGTCTTTAACTCTGCTTGTATCAAACACTTACTATAGTTACTGGTACCTACATGTTTAAAATCATCTCCGATATTTTAAAATATATTGTAAAATTATTTCAAAAAATAGAAAAGTTTTTCAGTTGTTTACTCTTCTTTATCTTGATCTAAAGACATTTCTTAAAGGTTTTATGTTGTGTATTTTTTAGTTCTAGGTTGAAGGATGTTTGAAAATATGTTTTCATCTATAATTGGAAAATTAAAAGAGTTAACTCAGCCCGATGATGTTTTGTTACCATCACCAATGCCAACTGATGGCCAGGGTAATGATACAGAAGAAGATGGTTTCTTAGTTGTTGGAGAGACAAGAAGTGAAAGAACAACTATAGTGGATAATGAGTTCAATTTCTCAACAGTTGATGCACCTCCATCGTATGCTCAGGTACAGTAGTGTATCTTTTCTCGTTGGTTTTATGCATCCACATACGTTTGATAATGAGTATATTCTGGTTAGGCTCAGCAGAGAATGAGAGATATACGTTTTGATTTATCCACGCTAAGGAATTTGATAACAGTGAGACTTGTAATTGAGCAAGGGTTATGAAACTTTTAAGTTCAGTTATGAGCATTATTCTTTAAGGCTAAGCAGAGACAAGCACTTTGGTTTGTTGATGCTTTGATTCATTACCGTTGGCGATTTATTCAGATACCAAAAATAGATATATGTTTAGCTGAATAGCTGTTAAACTTCCTCATATTTGAACATACTCAATGTCAAATGAAGGAAAGTTCTTCCAACCTTGACTTGCAGTCATTGAATTTAGGATTTTTCTAATACAGCATAAAATATTAAAAAAGGGTGTATCTAAAATGAGCTGCTATGGCACCACAACATTTCTTGTGGTTTTGTTTCATATGATCATAGTCATACTTCATTGTTTTATCACATGATTTGCAGAACTCTTGTTCATTCATTGATATGATAGACAAACAATCCATACTCTGACTTTCAGTGTCAATAATATTTATCATGTTTTTGTGGTACTGTCATACTAAGCACATTGTATAAAGCAATCAAAATTTGGTTTTCGTTTGTTAGTAGCCCACGACTATATTATAACCTTCACTAATAAGTACAGTATACACTATTTTAAAGATTGAACCTTTGTCATCATGTGTATTACATGTATGTTTACAAAATTATACTGACAAATCTTGTCTTGTTCACCTGATTCCAACCATAACTCAATGGTGCATGTCATCAGTAATTCTTGTATCAGGGAGCAATATTATTATTGACTGTTTATCGGAACATTCATTGTTCTGTCAGGGGTTGCCATTGCTGCATTTATGACTAAAATATAATTGTGGCATGAGAATAAACCCTATGATTGATTTAAAACTTAATGCAGAAGACATGTCTATCTTTTTATGGACGTTTATTTAATCAACTTCTTTTTTGAATTGCAGTCTGTTATATTTCCTGTCAGTCAAGATCTTGATATGCCAGTTCCAGAATATCCAGCAGATGCTTACTCTATTATTGCAACAACAAACTCCAATATGACAGCTATTTCAGACTTACCTTTCCAGTTGGGTCCAAGACTGGCTGTGTTAAAAGACATACAAGAAAATAACTATTTTTCCTTATTAGCTACAAATACTCATTTTAACTGGAACTCATATGATTATGACTTTAAGACTGAAATTTCTATTTTAAATGAATTTGGTGAAGGTGAAATAGAAACTCCCTTTTTGTCTAGAACATATACTCAGTATTGAAACTCCCTTTTGTCTAGAACATATACTCAGTATTGAAACTCCCTTTTGTCTAGAACATATACTCAGTATTGATGTTTTTCATCTCATTAAATCTTTTTACCTGTATTTGAATCCTATTTATTGTTATACAATACAAGTGCTTCTGAACAGTTTATAAGAACTGGATGTCAAAGTGCTTTATATAACAGTTTATGAGATTAATTATTAATGTATAATATTCTGCCATTTGCAGAAGTGACAGTGTGAAAAGCTGGTCAGACCTCTAATTTAAGGAGCAGATTAATTGACTCCTTTATAAAAGGCTTCCCAGTTGCTAATGGGCGGAAAAGAATAGACCATGGCAATCTGTCACTTTCAACCTCTGCAGATCTGAGAGTACTGTCCTTCTTGCAGTCGGTAAAAATTTGTCATAAGTAGAATCTGTGTTAAATTATGATAATGTCTGTCTACTACATCGTTAACACTGTTCATCAAGTGCATTTTGCATACCGATAGTCCATTGGCCAATCATGCTATTTTACCGAGATTTCGCCTAATAGTTTGGATGCAGCTATGGCGGGTGTAGCGCCAGGCAGGGTAAGCTTACTCTTCCGGACACCTGTTACCACTGTTTGTCGTGTATTTTGTACACGGTGAACAGTCCATATGCTGATTACACTGTTTTGCTTTATTACACTATTTTGCCTATACCGTTTTTTTAGGACTTCGAATTTTGTCTAATGGTTTGGATTGTTCGTACTTGGTTTTATTTTATTTATAATAGTCTAACAATCAGGGAAATATAGAGAAAAAAAAATCACTATTGAAAGATTGAAGTGATGTTAACAACCACTTAACACAAATGCTTTTATTCTATGAAACAAAGTGTGAACCTGCACTCAATCCTTCAATATCAGTATTTTAAACCAACTTTCTACCGGTATATCAAATTTACTCAATGTCACCCACATCTTGAAAGCCTTCTTTACTTCTTAAAAATTGCTATATTTTAATGTCATGTTATTTTCCAAGAAAAGCTTGGTATATTTTTGATTAAAACTAGTAATTATTAGATCTATATAAGCATAATTTTAAATACGTATATAAATATTTTCTCATAATGGTGCAATATTATTTTTATTAACAAACATTGAAATGTGGTTATATTGTTGTCACCCTGCCCATTGAGTGTGACGCTCTAGAGACTAAAATTATCATCTGATGAAGCCTGCCGGAGAAATCAACCTTGATCAATTTTTATACGCCCACATGGAAATGTGGTCGTATATTGCCGTTGCCCCCGTCCGTCCGTCCATCGTCCACAATTTCTTGTGAACACTCTACAGACTACATTTATCAACCGATTGTTTTGAAATTGATATATGTTGTTTGCATTAGTGAGACGAAGAAGCCTATTTAATTTCAATAACTTCCGTTAATTTCTTCTGGAGTTATGGCCCTTGTTTCACTTTGTTGCACCTTGTGAACAAAAGTTATCAACCGATCTGTATGAAATTTATATGCATCATTTAAATTAGTAAAGCAAAGAAGCCTATTGAATTTCAGCAATTTCCGTTTTAATTACATCTAGAGGTATGGCCCAGGTTTCACTTTGTTGAATCTTGTGAACGCTCTAATGACAAAAGTTATCAACCGATCTGTATGAAATTGATATGCATCATTTAAATTAGTGAAATGAAGAAGCCTATTGAATTTCAGCAGGTTCCGTTAATTTCTTCTGGAGTTATGGCCCTTGTTTCACCTTGTGAACGTTCTAACGACTAAAGTTATCAACCGATCTGTATGAAATTTATATGCATCATTTAAATTAGTAAAACAAAGAAGCCTATCGAATTTCAGCAATTTCCGTTAATTACATCTAGAGTTATGGCCCTTGTTTCACTTTGTTGAATCTTGTGAACACTCTAATGACAACAGTTATCATCCGATCTGTTTGAAATTGATATGCATCATTTAAATAAGTGAAATGAAGAAGTTTATTGAATTTCAGCAATTTCCGTTAATTACACCGTGAGTTATGGCCCTTGTTTCACTTTGTTTTACCTTGTGAATGCTCTAACGACAAAAGTTATTATCCGATCTGTATGAAATTTATATGTATCATTTAAATTAGTAAAACGTACAAGCCTATTGAGTTTCAGCAATTTCCGTTAATTACATCTAGAGTTATGGCCCTTGTTTCACTTTGTTGAAACTTGTGAACGCTCTAATGACAACAGTTATCATCCGATCTGTTTGAAATTGATATGCATCATTTAAATTAATGAAATGAAGAAGTGTATTGAATTTCAGCAATTTACGTTAATTACGCCGTGAGTTATGGCCCTTGTTTCACTTTATTTTACCTTGTGGATGCTCTAACGACAAAAGTTATTATCCGATCTGTATGAAATTTATATGTATAATTTAAATTAGTAAAACGAACAAGCCTATTGCGTTTCAGCAAATTTATGTTAATTACATCTTGATTTACTTTGTTGAACTTTGTGAACGTTCGAACGACAAAAGTTATCATCCGATCTGTATGAAATTTATATGCATTATTTGAATTAGTAAAACGAAAAAGCCTGTCGAATTTGAACAATTTCTGTAGATTACTTCCATATATGTGACAACCCTTGTCGACTGCTCGGACGAGTTAGCTGCTGTGGGCGTATGTTTAGTTGCCTGGCAACCTATCTTAAAAATTGATGATCGAACTTTTTAATTAGTCTCTTATGGTCAGGGCTCTTTTAGTTTTCAAGCCCCTGTTTTATTGAATAATCTAATATTTAGTTTAAGATGTTGCACATCTCTATGTTCTTTTAAACAAACAACTTAAAATACATTTATTTAAACAAGCTGTTAACTGACACTGTTAACATGTCCATAATATTTTTTTGATTACATTTTATGATTACATTGTCACTTTGTAAAGTGCCCCTGAACATGTGATATAAAAGGATGCACTATAAATATGCTATAATAATAATAATAATAAAATACCTACAAAAGAAATTATGAATATGTAACAAATTTTGTGAACTGCTGGACAGCTTAGCTGCTGTGGGTGTATGTTTTGTTGCCTGGCAACATATCTTTATTTTTGATACAACTTCTTAGAAATTTATGTCTACGAAATAAATTGTATAAATATATTGTAAATATGTTAAGTTTAATAAAATGTATGTATTTGAAATATTATTGTCATTTTTATATGCCCACATTTGAAGACAGTGTGGTTCACCCATTTGTAGGTCAGTCGGTCTGTCACTCACATTTCTTGTTTACACAATAGAGGCTACAACAATCAATATGTCTATCTCACTGAAATGAAGATTTCATAGATTTTCAATAATTTCTAGAGTTATTACCCTTTGTTATGGAATATTGTTCACTGTAAAGATTTCATATGGTCCTATCTGTCTGAAATTTATATTGGTTGTGTATTCTACTGAAGGCAACAATCCTATTAATTTTCAACAAATTGTTTTAATAACTAAAGTTATTCCATTTGTTATGAAATCTTGTTAGCAGCATAGTATATAGAGGCATAATTTTGATGCAATCTTTCTGAAATTTACATTTGTTGTCTATCATATTGAAAACGAACTTGATTAATTATCAATATAACTTCCATAATTATTTTCCTTTGTTACAAAATCTTGCTAGTATAATAAAAGATTCAATTATTATACAATTTTTCTGGAATTCGTTTAGTTCAGTTATTTTTAATCATAGTTTTCGCAGTTATGGCCTTTTGTAATAGTGTTGACGTCTGTTGGTCGCATTTCTTGTTAGTTACACTAGAAGCTTCAGTTGTATATCTTTTCTAAATCGATATAATTGTCTATCTTATTGAAACTGAAGCAACATAATTGATTTTCAACAATTTTTAAACTTTGTTTAACTTGTTCAAAAGAAGAATTCTATTGATTTTCATCTATTTTTAATGACCTCCATGTTTAAATCCCTTTGTTACTAAATCTTCTTATAACTTTGTGGGCTGTAATTATGAATTTTACTTTAATTTTGTTTATAATAATTTCCAGAGTTGTTTCCCCTGGTTATAATATCTTATTGTCGTCTTCAGAGGTTTTTGAATCTTGTTAGTTGATAAACTGCTCTGAAAACTTAGCAGCTGCTTTGTTGCCTAGTAACCTATGTTTAAAAATATAAATTAATATGCATTGTTCTGATTAGTAAAATAGGAATCCTATTATATTTTTAATATTTCTTCAATTCTCGAGTGATGGCCTTTGCTGAATTTGTAGAATCTTCTGAACACTTTAGCAACAACACATATCTTGCAATCTCCTTGAGATTCATATGCATTGTCCAGGTTAGTGAATTGAAGAAGCCTTTTTAATTTCAACAATATTTACGTTAATTCTGGAATTATGGTCCTTGCTGCATTTGTAGAATCTTATGAACGCTGTAGCAACAGCAGTTATTGGTATTTCTATACATTGTGCAGTTCATGAAACAAAGAAGCAGTGCTAACCCTACTATGGCCCTAGGTAGAATGTTTTCAATGCTTAAACAGCAAAATTCATCATATGATCTACATATTTATGTTCTTCCGAGGAAATTAGGGGAATTACTAAAATGGGTTCGTCGGACTTTGTCCGTCTGTTACACTTTTTGTGCTACAATAACTTTACTTCTAGTTGATGCACAGCGTTCAAACATGTTGTTGATGTTCATTGGGGGAGTATGTCTTGACTGAGTTTGATGATAAACATTTTCTGCTTAGGCTAAGCAGAGATAAGCAATTTGATTTGTCAATACTTTGGAAGAAAACTTTGATCCAGTTGAGTGAAAGTGAACAAACTTGGTGCATAGGTAATTGATTGCTGGATAAATAGATAAATGTGTAAGTATTTAATGAGTGTCATCGATTTATTTTGGGATTAGGGGGAGAGATGGGACACCAGCCTCATGTAAAGGTCGATTGTATGGAGCTGAATTACTTCAATGTTGACTTGTTTCTTTTGAGATGAATAAGTTTCTGATAATTACTACTAGAGTCATTGCAAATGATTTTGTCATAGAAACTTTTCAGTGCTCTGATGACATTTTACTTTTTAAACCAAAATATTAAAAAACATGGCAAACTATATGACATTGGCTTGTAAAATTGATCTCTTTCGAAAATAACATAAACTTGAGTCTTATGCCAATAGTATATTATGTTATTATTCAGGTACAAATAATTTGTCTAAAACATAAATTTCTTTTTGCAATGGATTTTACAAAAAGTCCATTCATCAAAAATTCATGCAAAGAGTGATGGGTATTAAACTCATCCTTATAATATGATATTAATATTGGTTACATTTTGCCTTCTTTTAAATTGAAAATGGTACAAACTTGGTTAAAGGGAGCTAACCATTATTATCGTGTAATTTTCCTACATTAAAAGGCAGATGATTTTTTTTGGTCTTATCTACTTTATATACCGGTATTTAATCTCATCTTTCGCCAAAGCATAATGGCAGAACAACCACTTAGCAAAGAATGCAATAAAGCGTACATCAATCATTTGGTTTTAAAATATATTGACAGCAAAGTTCCACTTTAAAAACGAACTGCCTGGAAAAACCAACATGAAGGTACACTCTGCTGTCAAGAGATGCCATTTTTAACAGACAACCATCTACAAAACCTGTTGCATCATTTACAAATTACATTGCTTTGTATCCAGTGCAACTTTTCGATTTGTTGAACAAGCGGTTGCCATGCAAGATACGCCCACATTTTGCAAGAGATTGACAAAACAATCTCAAAAAAGAAGCAATTTTCCGTACAATCAGGGGCCATAATCCAGGAAGTTACAGTCTGATATGCGTGAATATCGACAGGAACCTAGATCTTCGGGATATAAAACATATTTTAAGTTTCATCAAAAAGTTTTTAAAATCGGATAAAAATTGTGACATCTAGAGGGACCGCAAGCTAAAAACGTGATTTTTCGTACAATCAGGGGCATAATTCAGGAAGTTATGAGTTTCATCAAAATCAGATAAAAATTGTGACCTCTTAGAGTGTCCACATGCTAAAACCATCATTTTTTGTACAATCCATGAAATTATGGTCTGATACATGCCAATATCCAAAGAAACCGATCTTTGGGATATAGACCTATATTTCAAGTTCCGTCAAAATTGGATAAAAATTGTGACCTGTAGAGTGTCCACAAACAAATTGTGGACGGACAAGGGCGACGGCATGATATGTCCATTTGAAAATGTGGGCGTATAAAAAAGACTTTTGTTCTTATTTTTCAAACCCAAATTTTTGACATCCTATTGAATTGGATCGAACAAAATCCACACCATTAGACTCAGTGACATACCACATTATGGTCAGTTTAATTAAATCAACATTTATCTTGTTATCTTACTGGTAAAAAAAAGTGGGCCTCTGATATCCAATATTTAAGCCACAGTAAAAATTTTAAATGCTTTCGAGAGCCATTTGTATTACATCTACACAGGAGAATACTACCGGCCGGTGTAGACTTGAATAACCATATGCCAAATAGTAAATACTGCCATTCAATTTGCACTCTTCGCATATTTCGCCAAACATAACTGATTAAAAATTAGAGTAAAAACAGAAACGATTGAATGTAAGTCAGTTTATATACATTCATATTAAATTGTTATATGCATTGCGACCCATTTGTGGCCATTTCTAGGTACCAAAGAATAGCAATTTAGCTTCTTTAAGTATGGGTAGAACATCCAGAGGTTAGAACAAGTCCTGGGACCTCAAGTCAGGGTCTTGTTCCAAGTCACAGCACCTCGAGTCCAGTCCCAATTCGCAGAACCTCAAGTCCGAGTCTAGTCCCAATTTGTCCCAAAGCCCAAGTTGAGTCTGCAAGTGTTCACAAAGCCCAAGTCACATTCAAGTCATCAGTTCATCAAATGAGTCCGCAACGCAAGTTGGAATTAGAAATGTTCCCATACCGGGACTTGAGACCATGGCTCTTTTTTCAAGTCGCGAGTTGTGATGACTGTAGACTGTAGGCTAGTGTCGAGACGAGTCTTGAGTTTCATAATCATATGCGGTAATAATTTTGTAAAAGAAATTGCAGTTTAAAAAAAAAAGAAAATAGTTAACCTGTTTTACTAGGCCTAGTTAAAATTTGTAGGAAATTGGGTACCGGCACTATCGGTTTAAATCAAAATCAAAACAAAAAAATCTAAGTAACTTAGTCCAAGACCTGTCTTGTAGATAGGCCTAGATCTCTTTTCAGTATGGCCTATGAGCTACACTCCTGACTCCCCGAAGCGGTAGCACCGACCGCGGTAGCGTAAGCCCACCTTGCTTTTGGGCTAAAGTAATTTATTTTCTGTTGTCTGACAGAAATTAATGTCATTCACGTCAAATGTTTCAAAACCGATTGTCATTGACATTGTGTGTTTACTTGAACCGGGCCCGTATGGCGTGTACACTACACAAGGCCTATTCTAATTTCTAGATAGCCTATTACTACTCACTCAAGTGACTCACACTGTAGATCTGCCTTTGATCAAGCACAAACACTTGTTAACCGTTGTTGTATTTGTTATTCATCTATTGCTTTTGTTATAAAGGGGACAACGTGACGAACGTAGATTGTTTACCCTTTCAAAATAAAATAGAGATATTATATTATTATTTATTTGGTCCAGCTTTAAAATGTTTACAATGGTTGCCAAGGACTTTGTTGGGGAGATAACTCTAAGCAGTAACACAGAGAATCATGGGTTTTATTTAGTGAATTCTTGTTGTTTCTTCAAACATAACTTGTATAATGCCAAGTTAACCATTTTAGTAAACTATGTGTATTTACAACAGTAGATCAAGCATATGGTTAGGGTTTAATTAGAAGAATGCAAAATGTACACAAAAGAAACCTATTTCCCCGAGTCAGAAATATAGCTATTTACAGCCAATCATATAGCTAATAGTAATCACGTGACCCAAATTTTTTGCTATGAGAATCTGCAAACTCGGTATTCATTGTGTTGAAACTGAGAGTGACTGTGGGGGATACAATATTTCACGTAGTTCTACGTTTTCGTAATTTAAGTTGTATAGTATTATAAATATATTCAAAAGACTTTGTACTGCTATTACTAAATAGTTCAATTCCCTAATCGAACAAATGAAATATGTCAGGGCAGCCGTCACAGAGAGTTCGACGGAATGGATCTCCCTCTCACTCTCACACGAAAACAGGACCCATTAAAGCTGTTAAAGCGTTTTCGTTCATCAAGCATGGGAGCCCAACAAGAAGTCTGAATTCAGCTTCCCCAACTGCAAATGTTGGCACACAGAAAACATGGCCCAGAAAGTCACCAGACATCAGGGCATCACCAGAGAGACGAAGCCCCTGTTCACCAAGTTACAAAGGTAAAATATCGCTTTTTTAGACTATAATATAAATACTTTATGATAATACTAACTGGGCTGCTTCTGATTTTGCCAAGAAATGACAAGTTCAACCCATAGTTGTGACAGTTTAAAAATCCAGTGTCACTTTTAAATTTTTGATTTGTAACCCATGCAGCATTTTTTATTTTTAGTGTTGAATCTCAATAAATTAAAAAAAAGACAACTGAAAATTGAACAAAATTGTATTTGAAAAGTTTGACTGACTGGTCAAATGAAGATGGGGGCTTACACGCCAGACAATGAAATTATGTGCCTGGACAGTGGTGCTAGGGACTTCTCTTATTTCGAATTCTGTTATTCTGTCGAGGATTCTTTTACGTGTACGTCAATGTCTAGGCCTACACGGGACTTTGGATTTTCATCCCATCTGAATGATTTGACACTGTTCCTTGTGAGGACTTCCGTCCTACACAACTAAGGAGAAACCTCACTGGAAAATCCAGAGGAACTTTCTCGTCCAGCACCGGATGCAAACATGAAGACTCATGGTTGGTGATGAGACAGATGCTAGTAAAAAGAGAACCCTGGTACTGTAGTCAAAGTTAGCGTCAGAATCTTATAACTGTTGATCCCACTAGTCTTCGTATTTCACTTTCATTATTGTTTGTATTATGGTCGGCCTACTTGCTTGCTTTAACTTCGGTTACCCAGACTAATGGTTTCTTGGATACCATACATGTTCATTGGATCTATAATTGGTTTGGAAATAAGATATTTTAGTGGAAATGCAAGTTTATATGCAGTGAAGAATTTAAAAAGAGGCCCATAATACATGTAGGTACTTTGTATACAATATGTACTCAAGTTTTCTGATTCTTTCCTGTGCTTTTTGATTGCTAATCCCATATTTGTTAACTTTATAGTATGTAAAGTGATATTTAATGTAATCAGCATTAATAACACTACTAACAGGGTATGCATTTCTTTTTCAGATAAATCAAAATCTCGCCAAAGTCCAATTCACACATTAAAAAGAACAAATTCGTTGGACACACTTGGGCCATATTTAACAGGACAATGGCCGAAAGAGTCTTGTATTAACATGCTACACCATTATCAAACTACTGGTGTATTTATGTTAGACAAATCGACACAGGTAAAGTATAATCTGCAATAAAGTCAAAGATCACCAATATCATTGAGTATGATCTCCTTCTTCCTGTCACCAGAAACCATAGTAGAAATCAGTTTTATTAAAGAAGAATGTTCATATTGGCTTAGTGTCTAGTTGTTCATATGGGATAAAAACCAAGGTCTGGTGTCCACATTGGCATGCGCATGAATGACCCTTTGACAATTGGAATTCAAAAATAAGAGAAGGGTCCAGGCAAAATTGCCCTCATAGCACATTGCATGTCCGTCTTTATAGCCCGGTTGTTGTAGAAAAGTATAATGTTAAAACACCATTTCCTATTGGCTTAATATATAAATGTAGGTTATAATGTTCAAAGTTCTGAAATATTCATGTATAAAACAAAGTAAAACATTACTTCATTCTGATCAAAGTTACAAGTGTTTGAATTTCTGACAATTTAGTCTTCATTTTGAAGTACCCTTGCTACAATAATTAACATTCTGGGTGATCCATTTGTTTCTTAAATTATTAAATGGTGATTGTGTTTTAATCCATTCAATATCACAGCCAGCCGATGGTTAAGAGAGTTGATTATGGACTTGATTAAGTGTCCAATTAATAATTTGAAGCCCCCAAAAGAACAATTAATAGGCATATTTAGCTCTTAAATAATGCATCTTTAATTAAAACAATATTTGTCATACAAGCACTGATTGAAAACTCAGTTGTCTGTTTTTCTACAGTTTATGTATTGAATCTTATTGTGTACAAACAGTAGAATGAGTCTTTGAAGTAAATATTAGGCATTCAGTCCACTATAATGTAAGTTGTTTTGGTGTAAAAATTCTAAAAAAAAAAACCTGAATATTTCAGTAAAACTAACAAAAACAGGGTCTGCTCATTCTGAATCTCTCCTATCATACATGTGCATCACAACACCGATCAAAATAGCTAGGGGGTGAGTGACACTTTGGACTATGTACTATACTATGCATATGACAAAATAAACAAACCATGCAAACATTTAATGATGTGAATGAAAGTTGATATTTGTTTTATTCAAGATATTTTAATTGTTTTTAGACCCCAGAAGAATGGGATTTAACTCCAAGCATCGACTTACAGAAGATTAAGGGACACAAAAGATCTGCTTCGTTTGGCCAAGGTGATCAATTAAAGAAAGAGGTCAGTCTTTTAGGTTTTGACTTGGTGTACTATAGCTAAAATCTGGCCATACAGCCAGAAATGGGCTCTAATAAAGTTGAACTTATTCAATGAATGTTCACCTCAAATGACATTTTTGGAAATGATTATACAACATTATGTTGGATTTATTATTCTCTTAGTATATGTGGGGCGATATAACCAATGTCCAATTCACACATCAAGAACAACAAATTCGTTGGACACACTCGTTTGGGATTTTGGCGGGGGACATCAGCCTCGCTGTTGGCTTTTTTTATTTTTTTCTGTTTTTCAACATTAAATATACGTTGTCTAACCTAGATGGTCATTTCTGGAGCAGATATCGAGAACCATTCAAAATTTCTTTCTACACACAGCAAAGTATCAAGAGTGGTGCCTTTTGGTATTTCCATCATTTATGGCACAAATCATGGAATATGCCCATTTTCATTATCCCAGTTGGTGCAGAAAAGTCAGACGTTAAGGCTGACCTTAAAAATGTCTTTCTTTCACCAAACCTGACCCATAATCGAGGAGAAGGGTCGGTAGGTCGATTTTTTTTTCAGATTTTTTTTTTCAAGTCAGACTAGAAATCAATACAGAAAACTTATTACGGTAGCTGTATACTACAGATTCATTAATTTTGTTTAATGAATTTTGGGTATGACGTAAAAAGTAACGAACTTAAAGTTTTTATTAAACTTAAGAGCTAATTCGACAGCTTGATAATTTTCCGGGTGGAAACATTTGTCTTCTTTATTGGCAAACAAATCAATGACATCAGGGTTTTTCGTGATGCACGACGCGCACACGATTTGCCACGAACTTGAAGTGTGAAACTCCTTCAACACGTTTTTAACGATCGTGAGGGTTGTGCCTTCATTTTTCTCGAAAACGGATATTGAGGCACAATCATTTTGTTGGAATGGACGTGCTTTCGTCTGCAACCATTTTGTTGAGAAGCGACACCTATGACGCTTTCGTCTTGATCAACCAGTTTCAATAATAAATCAAACCATAGCCATAGTAAAGAGAAATAACTCTCGTGATATATTTCAGGTTGACACACAAAATAAAATAAAAAGATGGCGGAAAAGTGCAATAAAATAATTTAAGTCGGGGGTGGTTTTAGTTAGTCGGTCGCGTTAGGCGAAACAAAGCTATTTTTAAGGTCAGCCTAAACCTAATAGTAATAGATTTGTGAAATTTTGTTAACACTCTGGAGGCCTCCTTAACCTGTTAAGCGTGACGATTTTAAAATGTTAACTACCCCCTATTGTATAATTAATTTGACGAAGTGATGAACTATGGTCTAAGAATAGGTTGGGGAAAATACCTCCAAGGCGTTATATTACGCCGTACACTCAGTGAGTGGCAGTTGTCCAGGACGTTATATAACGACCTACGCACTTAATGGGTTAATATAAATCATTTGTACCATTGGCTTTCAATGTATCACAATTTTCATGCCCGTCTAGACGACTTTGCAGGGCATTTTTTAGTCTTAGAAGAAGTAGTTAAAGTTAAAGCCATTTTTATGTGATGCACAGTGCCAAACTATTTGTCATATAGTCATTATCACAGTGCCAACCATTTGTCAAAAATAAATATAACGAAATCTGTGACATTAAATTTTGTTCTTAATATCCAGTCTGATATAGTTATAGACTGACATCCATGGTCAGACAATGTATTCCATAATATATTTTTATTTGATATACAGTTTATAAAACAACAATTACAACAGCTGCGGAAAAAAGAAATAAATAAACACACAGAATCTGCCAAACAGCACAGACAAAGTCCAGTACAAGGCAACCACTCAGCCCTGTCTCTTACAGCTCCACCAACTGTTTTTGCCCAATCCAAGGCCATCCATATTCCAGCATCACACATTCCGGTAAAAACTCCCATGTCTCGATACCAGCGTAATAGTGTTGAAGGTTTAAACATAGTAAGTACAATTAAAATAAGGATATTGCATGATTATCCTGATTCAAATAGCTATGATACTAAACTGACAAATGTAGCTGACATTTTCTCTGTAAGTGCCAGTCAAAATCAAAATTTCATTGACCATAATTGATTTAAATGTTAGGTTGGTGTCTGTTGAAAAATAATCAACTAGTGATTATTCTGTCTATAGGGTGTTGATGGAATTTGATACGTAATGTAGCTCCTCTCCAAATTAAATACAAGTATATTTTAACATTATTGGTTAAAGTAACGATGCATTAAAACCCTGCTCGCATTTTTTATAATTTATAAATGTACATTCAGAATAGCAACATTTATGATGATTCTTCTAAATAATATATTGTATTGTGTAGTTATCATCTCTCACTACAAACACCTGACTATTTCATATTGTTGCATCTTATGGTATAAATCAATTTCATTCTTATCTCTCTCGTAACAGGAAATAGAAAAATTGTGGTCCAAAGAAGTACACTTTATGGGATGTGATATAGAAGATATGGAAACATTTCGTGTAAGTTTTTATATGCCCTCATTTAAATCTGGTATATTGTCATCAACTCTGTATTTTAGTCCTTCATTCACAATGCCTTATCTAAAGTTGTAATATGTGCAGCACGGGGATCTTAATCTGCTGTTTTTTGGCGGCTTTAGCTGCTTGAAGTTCAATCAAGCCGATTGGTAAAACAATGAACCGGCCACTATGGTATCATAAATCAATCTTCTATCGGCTAAATTACAACGGGTAAATTATTACTTGTTAATTAAGAAGTCCATCAACTTGCTTGTCGGCTGCAAAAACAGTAATATCTTAGTGAGAATCGGCCACGTGGTTCATAATCCGAGTAATTAGCACAAGTAACGGTAATTTTGATAACCCGGTAAAAAAAAAAGCTTGCTGATTATTCATAACAGTTCCAGTAATGTCGTTTGAGGAAATAAGCCACATGGCAATCAAAGGTATACGATCACGGCATGGATTGTGTATCTATTGCACGTCTTCTACGCTCCGTATACGGCAAATGAATTCCAGGTGTGCCGGTAAATATTTAAATAATAATTTGATCATAATTTATTGGTTTCACTGACCAGTTGTTAGTTAAATATAAATCCTAGTTGAGTATAATCCTTGGATAGAACACCAAATTCACTGAGAAACAGTCATTAAATATTATGAATCTCCAGTGCCGATGACACGTGACATTGGTTGGAATTAGGTCAATAAACCAGCGATGCTAGTTTTAGTTTTATATAGCGTTTACCGTTATGATTTTTATACGCCCACATGTCGGTCTGTTCGTCCACAATTTTTTGAACGCCAAAAGTTATCATCCAATTGTTTTAAAATTGATATATGTTTACATTAGTGAGATGAAGAAGCCTATTGAATTTCAATAATTTCCGTTTATTACGTGTAGAGTTATGGCCCTTGTTTCACTTTGTTGAACCTCATGAACGCTCTAATGCCAAAAGTTAACATATGATCTTTGTGAAATTTATATGCAATATTTAAGTTAGTGAAACGAAGAAGTCTATTTAATTTCAACAATTTCTGTTTATTACATCTAGAGTTATGGCCCTTGTTTCACTTCATTGATCTTGTGAACGCTCTCACGTCAAAAGTTATATGCATTATTTAGGTTACTGAAACGAAGAAGCCTATTGAATTTCAACAATTTCCGTTTATTACGTCCAGAGTTATGGCCCTTGTTTCACTTAATTGATCCTTGTGAACGCTCTAACATCAAAAGTTATCATTTGATCTTTCTGAAAATTATATGCATTATTTAAATTAGTGAGACAAAGAATCCTATTGAATTTCAGCAATTTCCGTTTATTACCTCTAGAGTTATGGCCCTTGTTTCACTTTATTGAACCATGTGAACGTTATAACTCCAAAAGTTATCATCCGATCTTTCTGAAATTTACATGCATTATTTAAATAGGTGAAACGAAGAAACCTATTGAATTTCAGCAATTTCTGTTTATTACATCTAGAGTTATGGCCCTTGTTTCACTTAATTGAACCTTGTGAACGCTCCAACGCCAAAAGTTATCATTCGATCTTTGTGAAATTTATATACATTATTTAGATTAGTGAAACGGAGAAGCCTATTGAATTTCAGCAATTTCCATTTATTACGTCTAGAGTTATGGCCCTTGTTTCACTTTTTTTGATCCTTGTGAACGCTCTAACGCAAAAAGTTATCACCCGATCTTTGTGAAATTTATATGCATAATTTCAATTAGTGAAACGAAAAAGCCTATTGAATTTCAGCAATTTACAATAATTACTTCTAGAGTTATTGCCCTTGTTTATTTTATACACCTGCTGACAAGAGACCTAATTTTTAAAATGTTGTTATTATTATTATTGAAAGCTGCATAGTCGTATGGAATTTAATTTTAAAGCCATTTCAATTATGGTTGTCACATGATCACTGTGCAGTGTGTCTATCATAGACGAATGAATAAAAACATTTGCAAGTTACTTGATAGAAAAAAACCCCTACAAATTGTGTTATGAAGAAATACCAAGGTGCCGTATCAGCTTATATCCATCGAAAAAATCGAATACCGTAATTTATTCAGGAATATTAGTGACATGAATTTCAAGTCGGTACATGAATTAAATATGGAAAATTTTCCGAACGGTGTACCTTCATGTATTTGTCGTTATTTTTGTGGTAATTACATACAGTAGAATAAGTTTAGATATTTCTCACAACAAATTACTAAGAATTATTTTTGATGAAGTCTGATTGTATTAAAGGGAATGGAAGCTTAAAATTTTAAAATCCAGTTCCTACCTTGATCTAATTTGATACAATTCTGGCCGGTTCATTTCAAAATGGATTAAGAACCCTGGTGCAGCATATATATTAATAAGGTTGTTGATTTTCAAAGATTTATTGTTAGTTGAGAATTAATGAGAAAGCTTTTCAGGATTTTCTGGCTTGGTTTACCCTTGTTACTGACCGAATCCAGCTACATTTTATTAATGACCATGTATATACTATTCAAAAAAAGTAGGGGATATTTGATTTTGGGGGCATAATACTAAAATATGCAAATGACTACGAAAAAAGTCACTATAGAACCTAACAGAAGAAACATTTCCAGTTACATGTGACGCCCAAACGCACCAATAGCTACCGCATGGAATGCAGGTGATGCTTGGGATCATCATGGGGGTCCAACCCAAGATTTGCACGACTCTGACTTTGAATGTTACAGTCATTGTGGCATTGAATTCCAGGGTGGAAACATCAGTTTAATTGTTTAAGTGACCAGAAAACAAATTTTGATATGCGTCAGCTTACCCAAAATGAAAGGTTACGTGCCCTTGGCATGCTACAGATCGGCACAACACAGGCGGTTGGGGCGCGGACGATGAATGTTTCTCAGTCTGTCATAAGCAGGCTATGGTCCAGATACCGTGATACACAATCTGTACAGGACAGACCACGCTCAGGTCGACCAAGGGCGACAACTCAAGCCCAGGATCGATTTATCCGTACCTTGGCCTTGAGAAATCGTGTCATCACAGCAAATTAGATCAGCGCTCGTCTTCAAACAGACACTGGTGTGAGAGTGAGTGGCCAGATGATTCGGAATCGACTGCATAGGGGTCACCTTCGCGCCCGACATCCTCGCGTGATCCCTTGTTTGAGAGATCATCACATTCAGGCAAGACGTCGTTGGTGTAGGGATCGTCAACACTGGGATAATCGACGCTGGAGCAATGTGATGTTTTCAGATGAGTCAAGGTTCACTGTTGATTTTTTGGACAGACGTAGGAGGGTGTGGCGTCGTCAAAACGAGCGCTTCCAAGACGTTAACGTCATCAGACATGATCGATTTGGGGGTGGTTCTGTTATGGTGTGGGGAGGCATCATTGTTGCTGGAAGAACGGCTTTACATGTTGTTGCAGGGCGTGTTACAGGCCAGTACTACCGGGACAACATCTTGGCAGTCCATGTTGTGCCGTTCGCACGACGTCATGGCTGCCGTTTCATCTTCCAGGATGACAACGCAAGATGTCACAGAGTCACGACCTCTCCCCCATCGAGCATGTCTGGGACATGCTTGGACAGAGGTTACGTCAACGTCAACAACGTCCTGCCAATGTCCAAGAACTTGCTGCTGCGTTGCAACAGGAATGGGACAATCTGGACCAAAATGACCTTAGACGTCTCATTAGAAGTATGCCACGTCGGATCAATGCTTGTTTGGCAAACAGAGGAGGATTTACCCGTTACTGACTTGGTTGTGATGCTGTGGTAACTTTGCTGTTTGACCCCGGCTATCATTTTACCCTTATAATGGTCAGTCTGTGCCTTACTTAGTCTAACGATCATTTGGAATAAATCGATGAATGTGAACTTCATTTCATTTTGTCATTTGTTTCTTCGTCAGTTTCATTAGGTGACTTTAATAACACTTAAAAATCAAATATCCCCTACTTTTTTTGAATAGTATATATAGAGTATAATGGTTGAGCACCAAGGGGGCAGTGCATTGTGTTGGATTTTAGTTGCTCTATAGATACATTATGTAAATAAAATGAAATTAGTTATACTTTGTCAGCGCAACCAAAATCAGGACTTCACAGCCATTTTCAGCCCTTGCTTTTGTTTAATGACGCTTTCGTCTTGATCAACCAGTTTCAATAATAAATCAAACCATAGCCATAGTAAAGAGAAATAACTCTCGTGATATATTTCAGGTTGACACACAAAATAAAATAAAAAGATGGCGGAAAAGTGCAATAAAATAATTTAAGTCGGGGGTGGTTTTAGTTAGTCGGTCGCGTTAGGCGAAACAAAGCTATTTTTAAGGTCAGCCTAAACCTAATAGTAATAGATTTGTGAAATTTTGTTAACACTCTGGAGGCCTCCTTAACCTGTTAAGCGTGACGATTTTAAAATGTTAACTACCCCCTATTGTATAATTAATTTGACGAAGTGATGAACTATGGTCTAAGAATAGGTTGGGGAAAATACCTCCAAGGCGTTATATTACGCCGTACACTCAGTGAGTGGCAGTTGTCCAGGACGTTATATAACGACCTACGCACTTAATGGGTTAATATAAATCATTTGTACCATTGGCTTTCAATGTATCACAATTTTCATGCCCGTCTAGACGACTTTGCAGGGCATTTTTTAGTCTTAGAAGAAGTAGTTAAAGTTAAAGCCATTTTTATGTGATGCACAGTGCCAAACTATTTGTCATATAGTCATTATCACAGTGCCAACCATTTGTCAAAAATAAATATAACGAAATCTGTGACATTAAATTTTGTTCTTAATATCCAGTCTGATATAGTTATAGACTGACATCCATGGTCAGACAATGTATTCCATAATATATTTTTATTTGATATACAGTTTATAAAACAACAATTACAACAGCTGCGGAAAAAAGAAATAAATAAACATAATGGTTGAGCACCAAGGGGGCAGTGCATTGTGTTGGATTTTAGTTGCTCTATAGATACATTATGTAAATAAAATGAAATTAGTTATACTTTGTCAGCGCAACCAAAATCAGGACTTCACAGCCATTTTCAGCCCTTGCTTTTGTTTAATGAAAGTTTTAATTGTCTGTTAATGTGTTTTTAGTTCAAATTCACCATAAACAGTTTCCAAAATATCGAATCATTATGTAGTTTATTATATTTACAGGAAATTCCTGATGGCCATCGAGCTCCTGTTCCTGAAATTCAAAGAATCCCTTGTACAACCAGAAGTGTAGATACACAAACCCCGTCCAGTAACCATGATGATGGTAGAAATAGTAGTTTGGCTGGTAGATGTGAATCAATCAGTCCAGCCATAAATATTATACTCGGTCCTATGGATTTATCTCAACCATCTAGTCGATCACAGTCTTTAGATAGTAAATCAGAAAAGGGTAGGTGAAATCAGTATACTCTAAACTAATATCAAGTCATCCTTACAGTATTTTCTAAGCTGCCAGATCAACCAAATATTATTATTATTGTTATTATTAAAACGATATTTATACAGCGCTCATCTTCACCGCAGAGCAATGCTCAGTGGCACTTTACAAAAAAATAAATTGAAACAATATAAGATTTAAATGTACATAGAAGTCTACATGATAAAATTACATACATATAGAAAATGACATTATCATATGGTAAATATGCAAGATATGCTTTGTATTGTCATGAAAAATAATTTTCTAAGGCGTTTTCACGAGAAAACAAATCGGTTTCGTTTACCTATCTCGTTTTGTACAAAGACATAGGTCTCGAGTTGGTATTCGAATCGGTTCTCGTAAACGCGATGAGTTGCCTCGCAAGATGGCTGAAGACTGAAGGATTGAGAAAAAATGTTAAAAAAAATTCACTTTTCTTTATTATGTTCTTGGCGACACCGCCCAAAAATAAAAACGAAAAGTTGTACCGGTTGACTGTCCCCAAATGCCCCATATTTTTATTAGGAATGTCCATAATATTCATATTTTAATGTGAAATTCAAAAGAAAATGGTCTAACGTCGGGCACGTCGTGTCCCTTGTTGGGGACGCCATCTTGGAAATCGAATCGTCAATCCGGCAGGCGAGCAAGTTGGAAGATTTGCATAATCGATTTGGCAAATCGTCGTGGTAAATACGACAATTAGGTGAAACCGATTAGGCTAATTTTTGCCGTAAATGTGTTTGGAAAGGAAATGCAAATCGATTAGCCCTAATCGGTTTCTCGTAAAAACGCCTCTACTCTTTGTTTATATATTGATACTATATTTATCAACAAAATGGATTTAATAATCTTACAATTTATCAACAATATGGATATAGTATTCTATCATGTGAAATATATGTTTTATTTAGCAGAGAGTCAAGAAGAATCTCCTGAACCTGCTGTTTCAACATTTCCAACCAGTCCAATGCCTGAAAAATTCCCAGCCAGTCCTAAGCCAGATAATTCATATGATTTTGTTCGTGAGCCACCAGATGGTTGTGAAAAAATAAAAGCTATTGAAGAATTTCGGTAAGTATCATGCTAGATATGTATCTTGTTACAGGTTTGCACATGGTGTGATCTTGTAGAAAGAGGGATTTAATGTAGAAGACCAATGATTTTCATCAAGGTTTCCATAAATTTGAAATATATTTAGAAATAGTCACCTCTAACAGGAAGTGATGAAATTGGTTCAACTCGCTTGCTGGTCCCTAAGTATAGAGATTTGGCATTTTATTGCTTGTTTTTGTTCTTGCATTGCCGAAAATTGAACCGAAGGAACTGTTTATTAGGATATTATAAACACGAACTTCTTTTCTTTTTTTTTTTAACACACAAAGCCTTTACGTAAATTAACTCATATTGAATAGGACGCTGTGACCCAATTCACTCCACATTACATCACATTACATCACATAGTTTGTTTTACTCCTGGCAAATGACAGATATTTGATCTCTTATAGAAGTATAACAAAGGGGCTGATTGGCATGATTATCTGTAAAATCAAACTACAGTAAACTTCGCATAAGTCGGATCTAAGTGGACTGCAGAAATTCAATTCAGTTTCGAATTTTCTTAGGCCGTGGGACGAAACCTGTATGGCCTCTATAAAATGGCAAAGGGTGCAAGTTTTTGGTGACTACATAAACTATATATCAAATTAATTTGCAGAATGTGCTTGTTTCAAAACTGCAATGTTTTCCCCAAAATGTATGTTTGCTACTTAGAAAATGCTATTTTAAAGTGACTTAATTTTAACCAATCAGAAGGCAGCATCAGGCCTAAAAACTGTCGAGCCCGAGCCTAACAAAGATGGCCGCGCCCATGCTTGAATGTTGTTGTCATATCACTGACTGCACAGATGAGCCAATTTTACCTGTTTCTGATGTATCCTGGGGAAGGATATGTGAGTGTATGACTTTGTGGGCTTCTCTAGATGGAAAGGAAAAAGAAATAGCTTGTGTATTCAATTCTACTTCCCGTGACACTAGTGGTTTTCACAGAGTTTGCTATCAACGTTTCACAAATAAAAAACGAATTGAACAGGGTGTTAAACGAAAAGATAAGGGGTGTTTAAGGTCTGCCGATAGCGACACCAATATCTCTGAAATTCCATCTTCCCCTAAAAAGTTAAAATGCATCCCGAGATCCTCATTAGGGTAATCCTCATTAGGCAGGGATAAAGTTGTTGAGAGGCGTTCAAAACATGTATTACCAGAAGAATACATTATATGCCAAAAGAGGAAGGTTATTATTGACAAAAGAACATTGAAGAGAAATGTGGAGGCATTAGTCACATGTGAAACTTATGCTGAAAAACTTTTGCAGGCTGCTGAATTGAAAGGCGACAGCCATATTTTGTTGCAGATTGGTGACCTGGACCCAGTTTGTATTGAGGTCAGATATCACTCCTCGTGTTATAAACAATACACTACTGTCTGATTCATCGTAAATTTTAAACGAATTTCGTCGATTATGAACAAACTACTTAACTTTGGTTATTGTAAACTTACCTGTGTGTTTGTAATCAACTCCCGTTAAATCCCCTGCCTAATGAGGATTACCCTAATGAGGATCTCGGGATGCATTTTAACTTTTTAGGGGAAGATGGAATTTCAGAGATATTGGTGTCGCTATCAGCAGACCTTAAACACCCCTTATCTTTTCGTTTAACACCCTGTCTAACCCGAGTGATTCAGAGATATTATTTGTACTAAACCAAAAGATGCCGCTCTTAACGGTACAGTTAATGATAAAGCGATTTAAAAAATGAAACGAACGTAATTTCTAAATCTGCTGTAATAACCAAGAAGCTTAATTTTACTGCTATTCAAAATTGTCAACAATAAATTTTTTACGGCTGTAATAGTTGATAGATTTGTAGAGAATTGCACGTGCCATGGCTATTTATAGTATCATACTGTCAGAAAGTTGGTCTCGGCACGGCGAATGTGCACGCTTCAGTGGTAGTCTCGAACTATCAGCGGTGGACTGTATTTCTGTGAGTACATGGGTCACCCTACCTTAGCCACTCTGCTATGACAGAGTTCCAATCTAATAACAGAAGGTCATGGTCAACAGAGTTATTTCCCTTATGGACTATAAACTATTTTGATATTTCAGACAAACACCAGAAAAAGAACCATCATTCTTCTGTCCAGTAAAACCTAACCAGTTTGTATTTAAGCCTAGTATAGGATCTGCCTTTTATCCAGCTTTCAAACCTCTTCTATCTTCTACTCAGGAAACTCCTCTTCGAAGTTCAGCTCTTGCCACCAATACAGCTACAAGTATAGAGAGTTCATGATTCTAGTGTGTATGAGAATGAAGCTAAGGCAACACAAATAAAATAAGTTGTTTCTCGGGCACCACCCGCACGCAAAATTGTTTGCGCGTGCGGCCTATTTATTAGTCTTGATGAAAAATAAAAAATATGTAACGCCCGCCCGAACATCGATAAGCAAGTCATAAAAATGAATATGCTGCATGTATCTACATGCCCCATACGTGAATATCCATTCAAATGTATTAGTTATTAGTTGTTAGTTAAATTTAAATAGTCATTCGATATATACCCCAGATAGAACACCGAATATCCTCAGAAACACACCGAATAACCTGAGAAACAGTCATTTCCCGAATCCCGATGACACGTGACATGCATTGGTTGGAATTAGGTCAATCATTATAAACCAGCGATACTAGATTTAGATCGAAGTGTCGTTTACCGTGATGATTATTTTTGATACACATGCTGACAGAGGCTTACTCTTTAAAATATTGTCGTTATTATGGACAGCTATTAATAGTTGTACGGAATTTTATTTTAAACCAATTTCAATTATGGTTGTCACCATTACCATTAGTAAGCTACATTACGTGAATTAAATATGGAAAATTATTTTCCTTTCAGTCAGTGTTCAGTGTTTGAGTAGACTTGATTTTTGGGTTATGTTCTAAGTATGTATAATATATAACAGAAAGCAAAACCGTAGACAAGTAATGACTTTCTCATTAAAAAAAAAAAAAAAAATACAAGGCCGCCCTCCCGCCCCAACAATTTTCAACTATAGGCAAATTTGATTTTTCACCATCCTCTAGCCAGAAATGAGGTAAAAAAAAAATAAACCGCCCCCCCCCCCTACAGTTTCAGCTGTCAGTTGCCCGAGAAACAAGACATTTATTTTGTGTAGCCTAACCATGTCTCAATCCTAGTATGTTTTATCAACTTGTTCCATCTTTTACTCCGTCAATTATTAGTTAAATCTGATTATCTTTAAGTAAATAACTTTTACATATCTTTTATTAAATACGTAGCACAGCTAGTTGTGTCTTCCCAACATTTTGGATTGATTCTATTTTTCCTGAAACCAGACCTTTGATGATGGGACAGCTGATGCTATTGAGCTGTGGTGAGCGTAAGTCAGTAATGAACTTTTGCAAACCAGCATTATGCCAAGTTGAAGTTAACTATAATAGAGCTTTATGAACTGCTGTAATACATAGGTATCGAATTCGCATGGCTATAAACTCCTTTCAACTGTCTTTTAATCAGACATAGGTTAGTCAAGAGGGTATGATATTGATATATATGATTTATTGAACTGTTTTAAACAATTATTAGTGCTTTATAACTTATTGTTCAGATTTTATTATTAAAAGAAAAATTGTTTTCAAGCCTATTCTAGAAGATTAGAATGGGTATTACTAAAGACCATCAGTAATAATTACACAGCACAAACATTTTATGCTTTACAGTGTAAAACTTGCCAGCAGTTTTTCATTCAAGTGAATCTTCCTATAAGTAAACATATTAATCCTGCCTCAACTAGAACTTATAATTATTTAATGTATTTTCTTCATAATTGTTGATCTGAAGTATTCTCGTACTAAATGTTGAGTTAATTAAACTGTTGGATTTTATTAATAATTTATCTTCCATTATATCAAAGAGAATGCAATATCATTACACATACTACTATGTCATTGAACACAGCCAGTCAATCATACATCCATCTTGTATAAATTCAATCCTCTTTCTCAACTATGGTAATTATCAATATCACTGAATTATTTTAAAAAAAAACTCACAACAGTTTGTTTCAAATTCTTTATAAAATAGTCAATACGTTGATTTCACATTTCTCCATTATACTGGAAAATAAAGGTATTAACATTTTTTTGTGGGGGGTATTATGAAATATTGATCTTTTGACATATTCTAGAGCAGGGGTGGACAACTGATGAGAAAATAATTTCATATGAAAGATTTGGCCAATTTTAGCTTGCACACTTACAAAGGTTACTCAAACTTTCTGAATTTGACACAAGTGAACAAAACTTCTATTGAGCAGACACATCTTTAGATTTTGGCCATCAAGTTTGGTATGAATATCTGGAATTCAGTTGAAACATGATCTTCATTCACTCATATTTAAAGCATTTATTTGTTCTTCTTACTTTACATGTTAATTTAATATGTTAGTATATATCCCGGTTCTTTTATTTTATGAAAGTAACACAACTGTATATTTGATTATAATCATTCTATTTGAGATAACTAGTTAAGTATTTATTAGTAAATTATAGTAAATATCTGTTTATTTAAATAATATAGTATATACTATAATTATGTACTATAAAGTCATTGTTAATATAAATGTAAAGCTGAGTATTATGATTCTTTGATAATTGAATATACAATATCCCCAGTAACCAGATAAATATAATTGTTATCTTTGATAACATAAGTCAACTATTAGATAACTTCTTATATGTCATATGTTTGAATGCAAATGTTATTACAGCTTATTTACCAATATTACAATTGCGTATGTTTATATGTAAACAATCAAACTATTTTATGTATTATGGTATTGTGACTGGGGGAACAATGGCAAACTATTTTACTCAAAATACAGATAGAAAAAAGTTCTATTTATATGTCTCCATATTGAATAAAAATGGCATATTTTTAAAAATTACCTGTTTAGATATGTAAAATATTCCCATATTTTTCTTAGACATTTAAAAGATTTATTCTACTCGAATTAAGAATTCTCTGAATTCAAGGCGCTGTTATTGAACTTGTTAAACGAATGTAAGTAGTATTTGTTTCTTAAATTTATATTTTTGAGATGGTTATGTTAATCCAATTTCAACTGTTATTTGTTCTCATATGAAATAGAAAAAAAAATGGAATAAAAAAAAAAAAATCTTTTAAATAAAAAAAGTAGACAATCAAAAATATTGATTTTGTTATACTGCTGTATGTATAAATATGTTATATAGAGTGTATTACAGATGTTTTCTTTATCAATGTTTAATAACTTCACATGAAATATAAATTGAAAATATACTATGAAAATATATTTGACAAACTTGTAGAGTTGAATATATATTCATTTAAAAGTCAACATACATTTGAAAGTATTCAAGAGCTTTCTATATTTCAAATGCATTGAACTGAATATTTAATGATTAAAATTAATAGTTGATTGTTTCTGTCAAATAGTTTTTTACTGTACAACTCTTTGAGTATTAATCTAATTAAATAGTTATGTTTATATTTGATATAGAACAATTATCGTGTTCTACATCTGATATATAATCAATGTACTATAGCCCCACCCCCCTTTTCAACTGTGTGATAACCAAAGCCAAAGCCAAAAACATTTTGTAACACTTAACATTTAATTTGTCATGTGGCCTTCTATATATTACATGTATTTACAAATGAAACTCTTATATATACTGAGACCCAATGAAAACATACCACTTTATAAATGGGTGATTGTAAATCTTATTTGAGAGATACATGTTTTATTTTGCAATTCTTAATGTAACAAGACCAGATCGTTTGTGAGAATGATGTTTTTACTATGGCATAAAAACACCACAGAACAATTCTCTCAAATACAAAAAATTGAATTTGAGGAATGTTGAAAATCCAATTCTATTTTGCGAACATGGAGTATGGAATGTTTTTTTTTTTTTTTTTTTTTTTTTTTTATTTTTTTTTATAAAGGCTAGGGTCGGCTAGGGTCAGTACATCTCCTACAATACTTTGTGAGAAAGAACAATATGCTAAGAGGACATTTGAACTCGGAGACCGTGATTTGTGTCTATTCATTGCAGGAAGCAGCAATGTTGAATGGTGTGTGTTTCTACTAGAGGTGGACAAACTTTTTACCCCCAGTGAAATCAGTGTTGTGTTATTATTGTGTCTCAGTATATTATTATTTGTATTTTGTTGTAACTAAAAAAAAATTAAAGGTCTAAAAAGGTAAGATATTGTCAGTCAGTCTGGTTTCTGCATATTTTTGTAAGAAATGCAATGTTTGAACCATCCGTCAACTCGAAGGAATAAGCTAGTAAAAAAAAAATTGTTTTGGAAAACAATATGAAGGCATTTTGTTTGATTGCCTGTCAACTTATCTTCTATAATACTCATTGAATACAAGGTTATATTTTACAAATATGGGAATTACAGTCCTTTTGTTTTGTACGGATGTTAAAATGAATTCTTTTATGTTAAAAAAATATTAATTTCTTAAGATAAATTTGCCTTTTCCAAAAATATATTGTTAAATGAAGTTAATAATTATTGCTTACTTACATAAATCAATTATAATTAATTTTTTTTTCTTTTCATAAAGATATTCACATTCCTTAATTTCATTGATTTTCGACCAAAGCCATCTTCAAGTAACACAAACAGTTCAGTAACATTCATGTATAGTATTCCTATTTAAACATATGAAATATATATTTTATTTATGTATTATTAAAATTGGTGATTATTATTATTATATATTATTCATGTGAGTTATTTTCAATTTCAATTCATGCCTCAGTGCAATGGATTACAGATAAATATTACATGATAAATCTGTTAAATTCCCCGTGTTTTTTATAATCTTAGAACACATCCATCCCTATAAAATTAAATTAACCTTTTTATAAGCCCACATTTATGTCAGTGTGGGCTTATTATGTCGTCACCCGTTGGTCCATTAGAGGCTACAGTATTTGACAAAAAAATTTCAACTTGGTTTGAAGCATTGGGGTCATGAGAGGACAAATCCTATCGATTTTCGTCGTTCATTGACCTTCACTACCAGAATTGTGTCCCTTTGCTGAAAACTTTGTGAACATGATACAGGCTATATATTTAAACAGATTATTTTCAAATTTGGTGGGAAGCATTCTGGTCATGATAGGACGAACCCTATCGATATTCCATGACTTTTCGTCCTGGAGTAATCCTCCTTTGCAGAAAACCTTGTGAACGCTATAGTCTAGTTTTTATACGCCCACATTTTCGTCACCCGGGATGTCCATTCACATTTTGTTTTGGACACTCTACAGGTCACAATTTTTATCTGATTTTGTCCAAACTTAAAATATAGGTTTACATCCCAAAGATCTCGGTTCCTTTCAATATCGGCATGTATCAGACCGTAAGTTCATGAATCCTGGCCCCTGATTGTACAAAAAATCACCTTTTTATCTTCTCTGTCCATCTCTTGCAAAGTGTGGGCGTATCTTGCATGGCAACCGCTTGTTTACAGATTCTTTTTAAAATTAGTGTGGGGGGTTCGGTGAATGGTCTAATGCAGGGATTGAGTCAAGTAGCGTGATTTTGATTCCCAGCTTGTACGAGATGAGGAGTAGGGTCGTCTAACTGCGTGGGTATTCCATGGGACCTCTGGTTTCTCCCACTACTATAGACCCCTAAATGCAAACGAATTATTGAAATCAAATTGAACCATATTTTAGTCCAAAAATGCTGAAACGCTTGTGAATGTAGAGGCTTTAGTTTTTAACCGATTCTTTTCAAATTTGATGTATTGAAATTAAGCATTCCTCGATCTTCTGTACCAGAGTCATTCCCTCTTTGCTATAAACCTTGTGAACTGTTTCCTTTCAAATTTGGTGGTCAGGATTTGTCGATTTTCAGCGTTCTTCTAAATTCTGTTACACCACCGCCCCCCCCCCCATACACACACACACAAACCCCTGCTGAGAAACTTGTGAATGCAATAGAGGTTATAGTTTTCAAAATATTCTTTTCAAATTTGGTGTGAAGCATTGTGGCCATAATAGGACGAACCCATCGATACTCGGCCCCCTTTTGCTGAAAGCTTTGTTAACACGACATTGATGCTGTGTAGGCGTATTGTCATGCTTTAACTGGCTATCTTTTCATGGAAAATGCCCTGTTTAATTATTATTTCAAAAGGGGTTTATTGATATGATAAGTAATACATGATCTTCATAAAGCTGAAACTTATTGTAATATTTGGATAAGATTAGCCTACTAATTGTAAGTGAAGATTGTAAATGAATGAATAAAATACAACTCAGAGTAGAACTTAATATAATCTTATGCTATGAATGTTTTAATGACAATAAAGTCTTAAAATTTATGAGATTTTATATATTTATTGGTTCTGATAACTTACCGGTACTTCTTACCATGGCAAAAAAAAATTATCAAATTTTTTAATAAAAGAACTGGTCTGATCAAGTGCCATAATGGCTACTTACTATACACTGATTTCAGGTAATGTGTTTGTATAGTATTACCTGCCTAACTTTGTGGGTTTTCTGCAGGTACTTCACTTCCTCCTACTTCTGAAGACCCATGTGCACAAGTGAATTATTGAAAATAACCTGGTTAGTGACTGATTGTTATTGATTGCACTTATTGGAAAAGTGCCAAAGGATTTGATGTCAAGAGTATTTATATGATGAAAAAATTATGTAATGTAGATATGACTTCTTCGTGCAAGTCATTTAGATAATTGATAAGATGTGGTTTATCAGACAGTTGACTGGTTTGATCAGGCAGTTGACAGAATATGGTTTGAAATGAAACAGTTGACAAGGTATGGTTGGAAATGAGACAATTAACAAGATATGGTCTATCTGAAAATTGACATCATATGGTCTGATCAGACAATTAACAACATATGGTTTGATCAGGCAGTTGACAACATATGGTTTGATCAGACAGTTGACAACATATGGTTTGATCAGACAGTTGACAACATATGGTTTGATCAGACAGTTGACAGTATAAAGTTTAATCAGACAGTTGACAACATATGGTTTGATCAGACAGTTGACAGTATAAAGTTTAATCAGACAGTTGACAGTATAAAGTTTAATCAGACAGTTGACAACATATGGTTTGATCAGACAGTTGACAGTATAAAGTTTAATCAGACAGTTGACAACATATGGTTTGATCAGACAGTTGACAGTATAAAGTTTAATCAGACAGTTGACAACATATGGTTTGAAATGATACAGCTGACAGGATATGATTTGATATGAGACAATTGATAAGATAAGGTGTGATCAGATAATTGACAAAATATGGGTTGGAATGAGACAGTTGACTGGATATGTTTTGAGATCAGACAGCTGACAAGCTATGTTTTGAGATCAGACAGTTGACAGGATATGGTTTGAAATGAGACATTTGGCAGGATATGGCTTGAATTGAGACAGTTTTGAAATTAGACAGTTGACTAGCTATGGTTTGAGATCAAACAGTTGACAAGACATGGTTTGAGTTGAGTGAGACAGTTGACAATATGTGGTTTGAGTTGACAGAACAGGTATATTGTTTGAGATGAGGCAGTTAGCAAGCCATGGTTTGACAGGTTATGGTCTTACCAAGTGGCCAGTACATAGAAATGGGCTATTTGAATAAAATCTGTTTGGATCAATTTTTTGGCTAAGACAACTTTTGATTGCCTTATATTTGTCATTTATATTCAGGCATTTTGTCCCTTAGATCCACATGTCTATATTTGGACACTTTAAAATTCACAAAAAATTATTCCATGCTAATGATCAAATTTTTATACGCCCACATTTTTAGTGTGGATATATTATTTTGTCACCAATAGCCATTGGTCCAACCATCAACAATTGATTAACACGATTGAGGCTACAGTTTTGGCATTTAAACCTGACACATAGGAGGATGAACCATGTCGACTTTCAGAGCTCTGCGACCCTCTGTTCTGGAGTTAACCCTCCCCTCGATTTCTCTGAAAACCTTGAGAACGCATTGAAAGGCAAGAGTTTTCAACAGATTGTTTTCGAATTTGGAATAAAATATTGTGATCATGGCAGGATGAATCCCATCGATATTGTGCATTTTGTGATATTCTGTTCCTGATTCCCCCCCACACACACACACACACCTTTTTCAGAAAACCTTGTGTTTTCAACTATTGGGGGTCATGATAGTGATAGGACAAACCCATTCCAGACTATACATTGAATCAAAAATAAAAACTGGTGAAGATAATATGAGAAGGTATTTATGTCTTTGATTCACTTATTTGTTACATTGATTACTTACTTTTTTTTTCATAAATAATAACCATTGATTTCTTTTGTTTTGTTTAATACAACTAAAAAGTATTTATTTTTCTTTATTTTGTATTTATTTTCATCCATTGATTCATGTCAACTTTGGCTAAATACTACTTTTTGTAATTTAACCACAATTTTCAACTTTCTGCATTCCTTTGGTTGCAGGTTGAATGGTTAAGACAGAAGTGCTTTTATTTTTTGTATTCTACTCTTTTTCAGGCCTATAAATTTATAATGATTGTCTATCCTATTGAAAGGAATAATCTTACTGATTTTCCATGATCTTTGATAATAACTTCCAGAGTAATGCCCCTTTACTACAAAATCATTTCAGTTTCTTTAGAGACATCCTTGGTATCCTCAGTGGTGTGATTCGGATTTACTCCATTAACAGATGCTTGAGAGGCTTTTCGAATTTTGTATGAATTTGATTCAGTCAAAGAGAGAGAGATGGAGTTTAACGTCCACTTGACACAAACAAGGTCATTTCGGGACTAACATGATTCATTTTTATTTCAATAATAGTCAGCCTTCCTTCAAATTTCTTGTTATCCTTTTGAAATTGAAAATGAAGAATTCTTTTAATTTCCAACGTTTTTCTATAATCACTTCCAGAGTTATGTTCCTTTGTTACTGAATCTTGTTAGAATTTGATGGGTTACTGAAATTTAAAAATTGGTTGTCTACCCACCCCGCTGAAAGAAAGAATTCTATTGATTTTCAAAGATTTTCGATAATTTATTCCCCTTTGTTACGAAATCTTGTCCGAGACTCAAATAGTGATCTGGTCTTTTTTAAATTTATAAGTATAGCAACATGGAGGACTTATACTGCTGGTAGGGGTATGTTACGTTTCCTCCTAACACATAATATGTATGTATATCTTTGTACTATTTCTGATATTTACCTTCAATTTAATTTCTGTTATACACCAATAAAAATGAAATATATCTGTTCATTATGTGAAACAAAATTCAGAACCAAGTTATATTACAAAGACATCTAAAAACTTATGATTTAAATACTAGGAACACCGTTGCTCAATCTACAACCAGGTCTTTGATAAATTAAAACAACACAAAATCATAGATCATGAAGAAGGTAATCTGTGGACTCTTGGGAGTGATTAATTAACACTTGGAAGGAATCGGGTGACAAAAACAAACCGCGTCTGGTCTTCGGATATGGTACGGTCATGTGTACATGTTGGCATGCACATGCTGTCCGGGCAAAACTTTACTCATAGCACAATGCAAATTCATTACCCTATAGTTGGTGAGGAAAAGTTTTACGTTAAACTCTAGTCAAATGTTGAACATCCTACCTCTATTTCTTAAAACCTCGTTGTCTGGCCTCGACTATGAATAGCCCAATAGTTACCTCAGATAATGTACTATATTGCATCGTTTATGGTCATACAAGAGAGAAGATACAAGGGAAGAAAGACTTAATAAAATACGTCTGGACTGTAGACCGTATGTCGACAAAAATTTAGAAAAAAAAATATGACAAAACTATGATAAAAATATGACAATAATAAAACATGATCAAAATGCTCGTTGTTGAAATTGTTGTTTATTACTGTTTCAAAACGACTCCGAGAAGGAACGATAATGATAATGATATTCATTGTCCTGTGATAACACGCGCCTTTCTTCACAGTTCACACATTCTTCGTCGCAGCCAAGCGAAACCCGCTAATTCGCCGTTATAACAGTATGTAAAATCGCAGTTTCACATTGCCCCAGTCGTCCTCCACCCCTTTTCATAAATAGACCTAGCCCACACACGTGCGACGCCTGTATTGCGAACGCATGTGATGACTATAACTGATTTCTAAAATCAAAGCTAACTTGCCCGAGGCAATAATTCCAGCATATGGACCAATAAACCATAGACCTACGTATGGAAATTACTCATTGGGTGCATCAAGCTGAAGGTTTATCGGCATACAATTAAAATTATATTAAGTGGTCCAAACACGAGCTGTCTCCAGAACTCTGCACGTAGTTCTTTAATACATACCTAAAAATAAATAGGGCTGGGCTTGGGTAAGATGTTTAGACTTGAAGCATTTTGTTTTTAATCAGTCGTACCGAGTGTTCTCCCTATCAACCAAATGATATATGCTGCACCGATGTTAAAGCAATGAGCTGAACACCCCCGTTGCGAAAAATCGATTCGTTCAGAAAATCCTCACACTGAAGCGCTTTTCTTCATGTTAAAGTATTCTATGGTGTCCTTGTTACCGCTATGGGGATTGGGTTTTGAAATTTGTTTTTTTATGTGCGATTGTGATATGTGAACCAGAGGCGATGCATCAAATCGCCCGTGTGATTTTTCTTGGCGTGATATCTTCCATAATCAACACAAACCATGTCGTCTGCATAACGAAAAATGGCGGCCATGTCGATATGTGATCGAGGCAGCGGTTTCAGACAAATGGCTAGTGATATAGCAGTAATGTAAAGGAAACTATACCAATGATTGCTTGTAGTTGATGCGAATTCCTCGTTTTAATTTTGTTCAAGGGGAGAAAAGAAAAGGAATAATTTATGTCTATGTGGAAAGGGCGAGAAGAAGAAGAAGAATACTATGTTGGAATGAAATATTTTAAGAAGGCGCGTCGGTTTCCTTGCGCTTGTCAAAGAAGATATGGGGATTTTTCTCGGCACGTTTCTTCAATACCTGCTATGGATGTGTCCGGTTTTTGATTTAGTGTTTTCTATACCCATAACCGATGGTTTTCCAAGATTTGAAAATTTAAAAAATCAGAATGGATATTTTGCCAATGCACCAAATCAACCACCTTCTTCGAGAAGCCGTGCCGCCCGATCTCGTTCTAATATTATTGGTAATAGCATATTAGAAAGTCACGGCTTGGAAACCGAGAATAACATTGCTGTGACCGAACTACTAGCATATATCGACTCCGTACAGTCGGGAAAGAGAAAATGCAGTAAAGGTGAACGAACAATACCACTCGATAGCTTTGGTTTTAATTTTTTACCGGAATATTTTTATGGGCCCTTCAAAGATCAAGTGGACAAGGCTGTTCATCTGGCCAATACTCTAAATAATTTATTTCTTTATAAAGACCAGGGGCAGGTCTTGTACGACGACGTGGTTTACTTTGCCTTATCGCAATCATTTGCTGAAAACGACACCAATATTGTTGGATGTGGGATCGCCTTCGCGGAGAAACAATATCCTTTACGGAAATCCTCTATGTTTTGGCCTTATGCCTATCGGGTAGGGAAGAAACCCGAAACAATGATAGTTGTATCGGATCTTTCCAAGTTGTATAATTACACTGACGTGGCCTGGTTCACAGAACATCAACAAAAGACCACCGTTAATTTTCAAACGGACCAGTCTGTTCTCTTCACAAACCAGTCTGATGCCGACATCGGTAAATTTGACAGATATTTATTTCGACGAAACAAAACCGTAAAGGTAACCAGAAGTGACGGATTCTGGGGCGATCCATTCTATGATTGTCTCCTAATGAAATGGATTGTATCTTTTTCTTTGCCATTTTACCAAATTCATGGAGACACTGGACGAATTGTTTTTAAGTAAGTATTAAAAAAACAAAAAACTCTTCTACGATCTTTGTGAACCCCCACCCCACCCCTAATTCCCTATCCCACCACTTTAAACAAACTAAATTGCATACAATCGAATGCCCATAAATTAAAAACAATACTCTACCTTAGCCACATGTAGCCTACATAGAATGACACACATTCTTACGTTTTTAGGCTAACGTAACAAAAGATCGTTCCACGCTCTGTTGATAATGTATGGACTATTACATAACGTCAATCGATGATAACGCGCTTACTTCCCTTGGCTATTTTATCTGCAAAAGACTGTGAGCACGTGTCAAGATTGTAATGAATTATTACATCTCTTTCATAGGTCTTATCGGCTATCCACGTGGGCTATCTGTTATACTGACCAGTTGAATATTAGTTTTATGTTGTTTTGTGTTGTTGTTACTTGTAGCTGACCAGTTATGAAACATGAAACATTCTTTATTGTTCCAAAACAGCGTCCAAATATTTTGATTTAAAATAGACTGTTGGCCAACTGATAAAATTTTATGAACCAAGTATTTAAGTGACGAATTAAATTGATTGAATATAAGATTTTTGCAGATTTTAAATTTTTATGAAATAGATTAAAATTATAATTAAGCAGGAAATATGGCACATAATTAGATGTTGAAAATTTTAATGTCCAATAAATAATAGATTAAAACAAATTGTCAGATTGGGATCCATGATTAGGGTGGCCCATGCACCCAAAATTTTCCGTACAGAAAGTTGGTCTCGACACAGCGAATGTACACGCTTCAGTGGCTTGTCTTGAAGTGATTTCACGCTTACTACGCAGTATGATAATACTCAGCGGTATGGTCTATGATACTATAAATAGCCATCCACACATGCAATTCTCTCACATCTATCAACTGTTACAGTCGTAAAAGATCTATTGTTGACGATTCTGAATAACAGTAATATTTAGCTTATTGGTTATTACAGCAGCTTTAGAAATTACGTTTGTTTTATTTTTTAAATTGCTTTATCATTAACTGTACCGTTAGTAGCGGCATCTTTTGGTTTAGTACAAATAATATCTTGAAAATACTTCCGTTGGGCAAGAACATGATACTCACAGTAGTTTAATTTCACTTTTACAAGGTTCTTAAAACAATTGTCAAGTTGCCCAAAGTGCGTGTTTCTAAATTCAATTTCTTGTTCCAGCTTTCTGTTATGTTTCATAAAAAAGTAGTCTTGATTATCCCGGCCTGTCAACCAAACGTAGAATGGTCAGTAGACTGGTTAAGCGAGACTACTTTCAAAACAAAGGCACGTAACCTATTTTTTTACTCACATGTGCTCGGATGTTATGGCCGACACTCGTAACCATCTTTCAGTGTATAATTTATGGATGATTAAATGGTCATTGCTTATTAAGTACAATATTATGGGGCGCCGTTTTGTAAAATAATTATTTAATTTTTTTTATAGCAAAAAACATTAGATTTAACTCCGAATGTATATATGTAAATATCAAAAGATATTGTAGCTAAAAGTCAAATTTTTGGTCTATGAAAAACTTTAAATGTTATATCTTGATTTCACACCGCTTAGTTAAATACATAGCTAAATGTGCTGTTTTTCGTAGGTATAAATGCTAAATACTAAATCACTGAAAAATCTAAAGTTAAACATTTAGCTAAATATATAAACATTTAGCTAAATATATATATATAAACATTTAGCTAAATATATAAACATTTAGCTATTTAGATATATATTTAGTTAAATATATAAACATTTAGCTATTTAAATATATATTTAGTTAAATATATAAACATTTAACTAAATATATATATTTAGTTAAATATATAAACAGTTAACTAAACATATAAATATCATGCTAAATATATGTGTTTAGCTAAATGTATAAATATTTAACTAAATATATATTTGTGGTCCCGCCAATATTTCTATTATCGTAAGCGACACAAAAAACTGCACATAAAGTAATGACGTGTACCCGACACATGAGCCTTGGCACAATAGGCCTACTAGCAATTAGAAATGGAAGCTGACCACGAACTTGTAACCCGAATCACGGCCGCGGTACTTCGTGCCGTTCGCACAGATCAAAGCAAGGTGCAGTCAATGGAAAGTTGTACACTACGTCATCGTTTAGTGTGAAGTCGCTTACAACAATAATTATTTTACAAACGGCGTGGTACGGTTGCGCTTTGTAAATTTAACTATATGTTAAACTAAATATATAATTATTTAGCTAAATATATAATTATTTAGCTAAATATATAATTATTTAGCTAAATATATAATATATACTTATTTAGCTAAATATATAATTATTTAGCTAAATATATATTATTTAGCTAAATATATATTATTTAGCTAAATATATATTATTTAGCTAAATATATATTATTTAGCTAAATATATAAATGTTTAACTAAATATATTTATATATCATCAAATCTCTTGTTTTGGTCTTAATATTCAATGCTAAATGTTAAATATGAAAATAGAGACAAATCAAGAAATATTTATATATATTATGTTAAATATTGAGTTTTTGTTGTATTTTTAGTTTAAATATTAAAAGTGAAAAATTTGCACAAAAGTCGAGATTTAACTATATATATAAATTTAAATTAAATCTAGTGTTTTTTGCTATATAAAAAGCTAAATAATTAATTTACAAACGGCGCCCCATACAACATGACTGTTTATTTAGTGACTATAAATGTTTGAAACTGATTTAAGGCTTGGTGTATATATAGATATTGTGGTGTAATTGTTGAGATATTTGGAGATATTTATTTATGGTAGGGCACACTACCAGGATACAGTACAGCGGAAGCCCAAGGGGGTCAAACTAGCTGAAAAGTGTACCAATTTTCTCTGATATGGTATCAGTGCATGTATATCTGGTATCATCAGCATGTAAGTCTGCTGGGTATCTGGTGGTGGGTGTGGCTATGAGGGTTGTGATTCTGGGCATGAATTCTTGAACTAGATTAGCTCAAAAGTGTACCACATGAAAATTGTACAGTAGTGTAGCCTACCTTACATCTTCAAGTATTACAAAAACTCTTACAGACATTTCTAGTGATGGGGTACCCATGACACAGCTGTGTAATTGCCAGACATTTGTATCCCTGACAAGAGTTATCTAATTTCCAGACCACAGCTAGGCTAGATTAGCTGAAATCTGTACCACCTTAAACGGCCCTGAAGTTGTTTAGTACCACCACAGAAATCATGAATGACTATTGCCATACAGTTTGTGCGGTGGGTTACCCCTAACAGACACGCTCGAAATGCCACGGCCCCCAACTAGGATAGATTAGTGGGCACTGTTCCCGTGGTCCAAATAATTAAAAGTTGTGCTAGAATGCGTAGAATACTAATACCTAGCACGTATGGAAGAAGTGATAAACTGCGGTTTGCAGGAACAATTTTTTTCTTCAAAAATGCATTTTTAGCGCCATAAAATGTTTTTTTTGCCCACGGGAGGTGCAAGCTCCTAAGCAAGATGCTGTCAAAAGTGCATAATTTTCTCGGGGTCCCTGCTAATTATGTTAACCTAGTCCTAACCATAGAATACAAAACTTTTCTGTGTATGTTATTTTCATGTACCGGTACATAAAATGGTGGTTCCTCGAACTTTTGCATCCATTAAAGCTATCCCAAACAATAAGTTTCAAATCATTAGGACGCCCGTGAGATTTTAAAAATTTATGGATAAAATGAATACCATAATCAAGACTTAGTCCCAGCTAATATGGTTACCCAACCCTAACCTTAGAATACAAAACTTTTCTCTGTATGTTTTTTCCATGTACGACATAAAATGGTGGTTCCCCTAACTTTTACTCCCCTGAAACCTGTCCTAAAACATTAGGTTAATTGTTTAAATTGGGTGGCAAATACCGGTAACTGTTTGCATTGTTCCTGGATATTTGCCACCGGTTTTGAATAACTGTTTGGACTGTTCTGGGATATACACCACCCAGCTAGCAAATAACCACTCCCAAGAAGTAACCAATCTATGCTCAGTCATTGTCCTTCCTTTCAATAATGCCTACCTGTATTACCCCTTTTATCAAGGGGGAACGCCACAGCTGTCAATATACCATCAGGGATTTTCTAACTTCAAATGATGTATTATCAAAATGATTAGTTTATTATGACATTTTAATGTTAATCGATTCAACAATTTTACTTCCTCACTCAAATCTTGTCACTTTCTCTTTAAAAAAGAAATGAAAATTAATAATAAAATAATATACTGCACACAGGTAATGTTTAAATATCGGTTACCTGTAGAAAATGGAAGCTGCAATCATTGTCTAAATTAGGATTAAATTACCTATACTTTGAAACAACAGTAGGGAAATACTACTCTTTCAATTATCTGTTCATTTATTGTGTCCTTGGTATTGATTCTTGGACCATTAAAAGTTAAAACTATTTTTTTACTATTTGTGGTTGATTCTCTGTGTTATTGTATTTTAAATGTGAAATATATAAGTTAATTGTAATTTGTGTGGTATAAGATAGTCATTAGGAGAAAGAGAATGAGGACTTGCTCCTATTAATACCATACCCCTTTAATCATCAGTTATATAGTTCAACACAGCAGCTGTTCTACAGAATGTTGTAAATCTGACTGTTATCAAGACTCTTAACTTGTCTTAGCAGGATCAAATTCCTCATGTAATTTCTGTGTTTACCTGAAAAGTAAATAACATTCTTGCAGACCAAGATTTAAATGAAACAGTACATGTATACATATTTTCTTTCATTACATGGGCAGAAGCAATAAAATTAGTATTTTGTTTTTCATCCCTATAAATTGTAATTACTGGTACCATTTTGAAAATAAATTGAACACAACCCCTTGTACGTCACTGAACCAGCCTAACACTTGTAAGCAATAAACACCCATATCTTTCTTTAGTTGTAATAATGTTAAGATACTGTAATTAAAGTGTCTGTAAAATGAAAACTGT